TATTTGTCTATAGCTGAAGCATTAGCCATCCAGAAGTTCAAACCAGCGTTATGAGTGCAAAAAGGTACGTCCAACCTTTATCTTTACCATGGCCAGCATAAAGCCCTGTGCCACAGATTCATTTTGTATCGAATTGAACCTGCATTACGTAATTATTATCTTATTTTAATAATACCCTGTTTGTTTTCCTACTTTGTTAGATTTAACCTGTATTACGTAATTTTTGTCTCATTTTCATGATCCCGTGTTTATTCTCATACTCTGTCATTGGTTTATCCGGTATTACGTAATTGCAATTTTATCTCCATAACCCTTTGTTCAATTTCCTACTTTGCCATACATTCATCCTGTATTACGTAATTGCATTTAATTTCATAATCCCCTGTCTATTTTCTCACTCTAAGCACAAATATGTATTGATTAACTTCCTTTCGTCATTCAATATATTTTGTCCCCTGACCGGAAACAATTCTGGAACATTCTACCCACTACAACATATATTCACAAATATACAGCTTAGTAAGTGTTTTCATCGAAAAGAAAATTTTTTCTTCGCTGAAACCACGTCTTGACTTATACAGCAGAACGAATCCACTGCAAAGCAAATTATATTGTCTAATTGCACCGATAGGATCTTTCAACTTACAAAGCTTGTTTTTAAGCGAGATTTTGCTTTAAATTCCACTTTATTCCCAGCCGTATTGAGAATTCCTCCCAGTGCTTCTGAAGTGCCTTCTTTGTATGGGAATACTGTGGGAGCTTTGAATTCTCTTTCAAGCTTGGGAACATTATTACCACTATTATAAACGGAGTTATTATCAATACCACCCGTGTTACTACTACTACTGCTAATATTTTTCTTTCGAACTCTTATGAATTTATTCATAATTTTTTCGTCCTACTAGTAAGTCTTTCCCCCTTTTGTTACTTAGAAATTTAACTAATCCTAATTTAAATGAAATTGAGTGAGATGATTTGAAGTCTAAGTAGCGATTTGAGTGTGAAGGTTTTCTGCGGAGATTAGTCTCTAAACTTCAGTCTGGTGTTCATTTAATATTGTAATCCAACATTACTAAGTCACCTTCATCAATTTTTAAGTCACAGGTAAATTAGATTCCATTACTCCCATTGGATTACTTCTATTTTAATGTCATATGAGATACTCTGAAACATTCGAAAGTTAATTGCACATAAGTTAGCAAAAGCTGTACATAATGTCAGATATTACAGTTTATTGAGGTAGAAAGTATATTTATTTTAAGCATTTGGTGCAGTCGACAATGTGAATAATTATGATAATGATAGACACAAACTAATAATCAATGAATCTAGTAGACACCTAGAAATTTAATAAGAATTTCTTTTTGGAGGGTTTGAAAATAAACAATTACTGATGACTGTAACAACTGGAAAATATAAGTAATTACAGCATTTGAATCGTTGGTCTCTGGGTTACTAGCGCAGTAGTCTACCGATTTCCTTTGCTTTACCTAATATTAAGAGTGGCACTAATTTAACAATGTACACTTATGGAGATAAGTGAAAAAAGTTACATAGGAATGTTTATCCGAGTAAAAACTCCTTGAATTATGTTTTTAGACAAATGTTTCCCGTTTTCTTTGTATATCTCTTAAAAGGCATGCACAGAATATTTGATAAAAGAGTCTGATTATGCATCAGGAGAAAACTGACCTAAGATATACAGCGATTTATAAAAGGCCACTAGAAAGAGGCAAGAACTTAGTAAGGATAACACGAATACGCTCATCCTAGCATTATCATCTTGAGTCTAAGCAGTTAGGCTGCGAAAAGAAACCATTCAGGTGGTTTTTAAAAAACTACAATAATAAAAGGTTTCGATGACTAAAGTCTTACTAGAATATAGTTAATAAATGACTATAATGCGGCTAAGATATCACAGTTTAAACAGAATAAATGAAGTTAGTAAATCGGCAAAGCTTTCATAAAACACCAATCACCTGAAATTCTGATATTCTAAAGACTGTTTTTATATTTTAACTCTACATCTTAACATTAATTGATCATATGTTAAGGGAAGAAAAACGTTCTTGATTAACAGTATATTAGGAATTGCAGAATATGTCCCAATTGGTTCATTCTCTTGGCAAGAGGTCTGGCTGGCAAACATTCCAGTGTAATGTAAGACAACATCAGTAGAGCAAACTTCACCTCAGAAAAGGAAATCCAGTAAGTGAAATCTAACCCAGAGAACAACCCAGTCTGAGTATTTGATCCAGCGAAACCAGTATATGTCACTATTTAAAGCGCATGACAAAATATAATAATTTGCTATCAGCAGTCAAAAAACACAAGGAAGTAAATCGAGAATTTGTTACTAGAATTTAGCATAGGGAAACAAACGTTCTTGATATCGGAATAGGTATGTAGATTTCGTTATTGTTTGAAATGAAAATATGGGCTTCAAAAAAGTTATTAAGGTCTTTAAATATGTCAGCATCGTTAATAAATTCACTGTAAACTGGACTCTTGCTTTAATTACTTTTGACACCCCTATACTTGTTACTCTTTAGAATACTAAGAAACATATACAGAGAGCAATATTTAGGAATTTAGCTCAAAACATTATGGGATCTGCAATTCTTTTCTAAGTAAACAGATAGACACTGATTTGCTTACGTAAACTAACCCAAAATTAAAGCTTTCAATTATGTTTTCGACTTCTAGAGGATTAGAAAAAGTCATAAGTTGAGAGTCATTTGAAGAGGTCATTTACCTGCGAGTGATTTGTATGGAAAAATAATCAACAAACTGCGAAGGCAACTTCCATGGGATGAAGCTCAACCTTCAGTTTATGATCACGGAAATGAATAGACAAGTTCTACACTTGAGACGTGCAAAACCTGAACCTTGATTCTACACCTTGTAGTGCAGCGATTTTCCGACAGTTTACTGCTCATAATGTCCAATAAATCGTTGTCCATAATCATTGTGATATCCGAACTAACTTGAAATCTATATATTACGGAGAGACCACTTACCGAAATAAACTGAGTTACTGAGAAAACCGAAAAGATTACCAGATGTGTTAATAAAACCCCAATGAATGTAATCATGTTAATAAACAAAAACATCAAGTATATTTCATATCTTATATTGATAATAAGAATAAGTTATTACCATAATTATCATAATAGCTTTCCACATCATTATTGAAGCCTATGGATAAAAATAAAATTCAAAAGCAAAAAATGTAGAAAGAAAATGAAAGAAAACCAATCAATTCACTTTTGCATAGGAAAGCAGACTAGTGTGCAATAATCCTATTAAAAAGGTGAAATGCTTTTAAATACATAGAGGAGAATTTATAGACAATAAACAAATAGACAGGTAAACATAAAGAAAGAGTTATCTACTGGAAACTAGAGTGAAGTAACGTGAGATGCTATTTCAGTGGGTTATAATATCCAACAATATGATTATATATTTTATGCTCTAGGATAAGTTGCTAATTATTTGATATAAGACATGTTGTCTGATCCAATAAATCTGTTTCAGAGATATTTTATTTGTCACTCCCCTTTATCCTATTAGTATAGTTTACCTTCGAGTTAAGTTTGCCGAAAAAATTACGAAAAAGGTTGTATCCATGATTTTGCTTTGATTACTTAGAACTCCTTTTGACGAACTGTATTTGTAGGGAAAGATAACTTTTCGTTATCTCTTAGTTTTCGCTTTCGTATGTTATAGGTCACAACCGAAGAAATGATGGTTTTCGCATTGTTTTTTAGCTGTTTAACTGTTTGGTATACTCAATGAAAATCAGAGCAGAAAAAATTCGTAGGAAGGGAAAGAATTTCTATTAAATTTCAATGGTAGAAAATGCAATGCAACAAAATGACTCAACTACTTATTGAAAAATTAAGTAGCATAAGTATAAATGTTAAATTTTATAGGGAGGTTACAAATTCGGTTAGATTATGAAGTTAGTAAAAACACAATTTAAGGCGAATTTACGCATAATATTCGAACAATTCATAGATAAAATGACAAAAGAGTTATCTACACTCAGGTGTGTAGTAGAAGAGGGCTGAAAAATCCATCTCTGAACAAAACCAATTCTCAATATGGTCATCCTATTTTATAGGGTACACTCCAATAATTAACGAAGAAAAAGTCATATCCTTATATAGCCTTACGCTGGGCAACTACTAGGTTCATTGTTTTCAAAATCTATGCTGTATCATCAGTGAAATCACAGTTAGCAAAATGCATGGTATTAAACAATGCCTATACACCAAATTAAAGGAAATTAAAAACTAATGGAATTAAACGGAGCAGTCATTGCACACATAAAATGCCATCAAGTTAGAAAGAAAAAGTAAACTGAATATAGATATTTGTATAAATAAACGATGATCAGATGGTATATCTGTTTAGGCTCAACAAATGACTGTAGACTCTTGAAGGCGTAATAAATATCTTTCAAAATATTGCACAATATGATTTCTGTTAAGAAACTAATTTAACCAATGAATTATCTTATTGTGCTGTTGGCTTATCTATATCTATGCAGAAAGTATTCATAAACTGAACCGAAAGAAACGCGACAAAGGAAAACAAAATAAGTCTTTTACAAAACTCATTTCAAAGCAGTAGTGATAGTAATAATAATAGTAACAAAGCAATAATGTCAGTAATCAATTGTATGACTTTTTATCCCTTTTAGTAAACAAACAAAGAAGAAAAACATATGTAAAGTAGTATCACATGTTCAGTTTATCAATGGACAAGTAATAATGTAGTCAACAATGATTATTCTGAAGATATGGGCATACCGATGCTCCATGTCATGAACTGTGTACATGTCTTTGTATGAGCGAGTGTTTATAAAGTAAGTTTCAATGATTTCAAATAATACATTTATAGATATCACAAATGCATGTTTAATTGTCTGAGCGAAAAAGCATGTTATATATATATATATATATATATATATATATATATATATATATATATATATGGAAGCAAAACTGAAGATTATATAAATAGAAAACAACAAGAATTATTACCTGTGCGTACGTATGTACAAAACGCTAATAGTACCACCGTTTTACATTTTAAACTTGAACAGGTGATGGAATTAGTTGACCAAATGGAATAGTCTCGAGTCGACCAATTTAGAAGGAGTTTTCAATGTTCAGTGTAGATATATTTCTTCACAGTGTAATTATTACTATTTGTTTGTCAGTTGACTGACCTATATATCAAGCATTCGATTCTTTCATTTCAGCGAAATAAGCCACTAAACGATCATGAGAGAGACACAATAATTCCTGATCCCAACTTAAATCAGATGGTGAATTAATTTGGCTCTTGAAATTTTTATGGCGAACTTCACTGCATTGTTGTTCTTGTTGTCTTTCTTCCTTTTCCTCTCTTTTTTCTTTTTGTGCTAACTTATTGTTCAGAAAGGATTGAAGATTTGGCGGACCATCATTTACTGGGAAATCATTGTCTTTAGCACGCTTACCTGATTAGCATTAAAGAGGAGATAGAGAAAGAATACAGTAGGTCAGCAAGTACTAGGATATATAGAATGAAGAGGAACAGATGATATTGCAAGAAGTATCTGTAAATGTATAGAGTACGGTTTATTGCCATTTCAACGTAATTAGTTTTACCTTGTTAACTTATCACTGATTTCTGTATTTCGTCAGTCCTACCTAGACTACGATCACAAAAGCCATTTAGTGCAGTAATGTTATATGCCAAACTGTAATTTATGAACAGAAACTAGTCAATGTTGAAAACTGGGCAGAAAACTTTAAACATCCCCCCTGTGACTAGTTAATTATTTGACTTAGTTATGTTCTAAGCATTTGTAGAGACTAGCAACTTAGTTTGCAGTGTATAAGTTATGTCATTATATCACAGAGGTTTCAGTTTCGAAAAATACATTAAGTTGTGGGTTAATAATAAATCTTGTAATTGAAAAGCAAACTATGAATCACTTCTTGTCATTTCAAACCTAATGATGTGAAATTTACATGCAAATAATGAGAAAAGATCTAAGTATAATTATGTGGTTTGTAGGAATACGCCAGCTCATTGAACTGGGAAGCTGTAATATGAGCACTTGACGATTTTATCCCCAGTTTCAACAGTTAATCACCAATGCATTCATGTGGATATATTGTCGAAAAACAAATCTTCTAGACTACACTCAGCTTTTTGTCGGACGTCAATGAGCTTAAAATACTGCAAAATGTTCAAGGAATTTACTAATTTTCTACTAGGTAACACAGTTTCAGCAGACCTGTCTCACGTCTAAGTTGAAGCTTCCCACTTACTACCGTTTCTTTGGGAAAGTTGATCTGAAGATTTTACATTGTAAGGGGAAACAATACAAGAAAATATCAGTAGCTACATAACCACAGACAAGAAATTCACTCGCTAGGTAGCAGCTTATTAACTTTAGAAACCATTAGCTGACTTAATCATTTTATGATCTCATATTAATAGAAATTCGCGAACACTTTTAGTTTCTACTGAAAATCTTAGCAATGTCATAGCCGAGTTTAGAAGTGAATATGGGATAAAATCCTACGATTGTATTAGAAAAAACAAGGTTTAAAATAAGTAAAAGTTCTTTAAAATTAAATACTAATTAGACCAGTTTATTTTAGCACATGTACACACAAAATGCTAAATTCATACCATGTAGCAGCTTATGACTTTTGATTCAGATTGAGATCTTGTTATAAATGAATACTTAAGGAATAACGTTTACAAAGGCGCTGTAAACATCAACCATTATTCAAATGCTACAATTCAGGTCATGTCTTGAAAAGGCATATATATTACGCGGTTCGAAAGAGAACCATTTATCACAACCATATATATTCGCAAGCCATTTCACTGGATAACATTTTATTGTTAAAATAGCTTAGTTAAATAAGTACTCCTTGGCAACCTAGTTTAGAATTTTAGTTTAGTCCATTTACAAAGTGTATCACACAGTAAAATAACACTGTCTACTGAGTTACGTTTGGAGTACAATTTGTTATACATAATAAGCCCACCTTTTGTCTGGTTTCTTTTTAAAGTAGTACTGATTCTCATGCTTTAGTTTCTTTTTCCGCTCGTAGAGTTTTTCGGATTTCCATAATTAGGGATGATTCATCCCAACCATAAGTACTAGGTATCCCTTTGATAAACAGGGCCTTAGTTATCGATGGCTTTTGTTGACTGGTCAACGGCAGTTACGTATACAGGACGTAGAAAGCTAGTGAAGTGTAGATTGGTAAACCTTTGTAAGAACTGAAGCATAGCTATGTATGCTATCACTGACAATCATACAACAAGATTGGTTACAACAGTAGTTTTAAAAATAACTTAGGTAGGTAGGGATAAACTAGTAACTGAAATTTATCATAAACTAATGTTGCGTGACTTAAATAATTATATATCCATAACTTGAGTGAAAGTAAAAAACAACAGTGAGAATTATTAATCTTCCTTTTTTAGATACGATCATTAAAGGAGACTGAGTATTTTGATCAGAATTTCTCTGTGTTTTCAAATGTCTGTGATTCGTAATGAAAACAGAATTATGGAATTTCCTTGATTATCGGTTTTGCAATCACGCCACATAAATAAAAACCAGTTTTACAAGACCTTCATTGGAAGTTCTAAAACCTCAGGCGTAATATTTCCTAACTTTTTAGTTTTAGTCTAAAAAGAGAACATTCACTTTAATAAAGCAATAAATATCCTTCAATTCAGAACATCAGTAAGCCCATACGAAATTCACTGACCAATTATTTAGCATAAAATTGTGCAACGATCTATAAAATTTCCATCTAAGAGTAGATTTTTAATTGATTTCTGAATGGTCTTCAGTACAAAGCACTGTTAGCACATTGCCATTAACTCCATAGGGAAGCAGGTTATGCCTAGTTCAACCAAATACAATAATTCAAATATCATTCATTCATGTAGACCGACAATAAACTCACATGAATCTGAAACCGTATAATTATTCTCCACTTTATTGATTAGAGTCTCAATATAACCACTGTCAGGTTTATTGACTATAGGGGAAGATAAATCGCTCGACTTTTCAGATACACTCATGATGTGTCCATCCATATGATGTTGCTGTTGTAGTTGATGTGGATGACGACGATGGGTAGGTTTATCTTCGGTATGCTTTTTAGACTCAACTTTACGCCTACGTCTACGCTTTTGATGAACTGGATGATACCACCAAAGACTTTCTTCACTTGGACTTTGTTGCTGATTTATATATTTTGACAGAATATCATATGACGAGGATAGAAAACAATCTTGACAAATCTCTGGTGTCATATCGATAAGATTCTTGTGGATATTTTGATTATCAGCCTGTGAAGTTATATGTTCTTCATGAATGCTATCAGTTAGAAATTTTATACATTCATTGGATGAATCTGTTCTGCACAGTGTAGAATATAATTCATTTGTGGCATGAAAACTCTAAGGTTAGAAGGGGAAAGAAATTAAACACGTTGGTAAAGAAAATGGATAAAAATGAGACTAATAATTATATGGCTATAAAGAGAGGAACCCATATCATAATCAGATTTAAATCACCTTTCCCTACCCTTGATTATATGCCAGTTATGGTACAATAGAAGTTCAATATGCTTGAATTTATTAGCAAGAAGTAGGTCGGCGGATACGTTGAACAAGTAAGGATAAAAGGAAATTGGAAGTAACACTGATGAAAATGAAAACAATAAGGCATTTTTGCTATTCAACTTCTCTATTTGACGAATTCAAACTTTTTTTCTTGCTATTTTCTACATCCATCTCCGTTTAGCAAGAATGTAAAATATTAACATGTCCTACCAACTTCTCTTCTATTCATACTACTTCTACTCCTATCGCATATTGAACGTATCCGCTATCCGATTTCTTGTCAATAAACTCAAATATATTTAAACTTTGTTGGAATCTTGTTGTAAGATGTTCTAGATTACAAACAACTGATAAGAAACTGATGAAATAAAATCATATTATATCATCAAGCTGAGTTCCTTGTTGTTGCACTTTTCTCGAACTATATATAACTTGCGTTTTTTTCAGCTGATCACGATATTCAGCCCATTGCATGGGCTATTACCACTGAACTAGTTTAGGTTAACTGTCTGTGACCATGGTGCAGATTGGTGTAAGCTTAGTTTACAGTAAGTGGGTGAAAACATTTTTCAAACCTATCGGCCACCTTATTTTGTATAAGACAATATTAATGAACTTTTTGGATGAAAAGCTAAGAGTCATTCAGTCACAATATTTTTAACAAACTTTGTTGCTATCAAACACTTGACAACGTCGTTGAAAACCTCAGTTGCTCTTAATGTTTATAATTTGCTAAGATGTTCTTTGTAAGTATGAGTTTCCAATAAGAATAGATTTTTACTAAAATATGAACTCCATTTTCATGCAGAAAGAAGGTCTAGATCATGCAAAAAATAAAGTTAGGAAGCAAATGAATTGCTTTACTAGTGCTAAAGGAACGTGTTTTTTTAAAGCTAAACCAGCTGCGTCTTCCACAGTTAATTTTTTGATAAGAATAACATAAAGGGCAAATACTTTCAAAAAGAATATTCAGAGGCTTTTTCTCTTGTTCTCCAATATAGATGATTTTATCGTAAAACTATGGGTGAAATTACTTTTCATTTTACTATGGTTACCTTGTTATTATTAGATTTCGAAATAGTGTCTTGACTGGTTAGATAGTATAGCTACTGTGACTGGACAGACAGGTGTCGAACAGTCATATGGCAGTCAGGTAGAACTTTCAATGACTTAAGTGAAGACTTGGTCAGCATTTGAGTTCTACAGCTAGGATGGTAAAGCTCCAGTTAGGTATAATAGAGGCCGCTGCATCAAATTCTACCTCCAAACAGACTTTTATTTCACTTTCAATCATCACTACGTAATAGTAAGTAATACTAGTCTACCAACTCATGGCTACCTTAAATATTAGCATCGACAAAGTATCATGTTTTCTTCAGTTTCATTTCATTTAGATACCAGTATACTAACCTATCTAAATATTGCATAAAAGTATGCAAGATATTCAACCTGCTTAACAGCTAGATAGAGTATTTTGAAGTGAAGCAGGATTGATGTGTCTAAAAAAATAATGCAGTACATTTTTACAAAATAACTTACTTGTGGTAAGCTAAGAGGACGTGAATGGTGACTGTTCACGTTGTTGTTTCTTGTCAAGTGACTGAGAGTATGATAGGCGATTGCTCCACGACTTGTTGTTCTAACAGGTGGATATGGAGGAGTTTGACTATAAAAATCATCCTTCATTTCTGCATCTTCGTTGGATTCTGAAACTTCGCTAAGAAGCAGAGAATTACTGAAGTCAGTATGATTCACTGATTGGTTATGCATTTCACGGGGTTTGTCGTCAGAATCGCATTCTGCATTGTTCCTTCTCATTGATTTGTGAGGTCGTCGAATTTGCCAAGGAGAATTCAATGGACAGATTGGAGAAGAAACATCAAGCATTCCATCAGTTGAGTGACCAGGCCTATCTATTGACGAATGATTATTCTGTTCTTGCAAATCTTCACTTTTTACTACATTAGTAGATGATGAGCCTTGTCCAGGGAATTCTGATTTTATCCAGTTTTGCTGAGTAGATGATATCCAACAAACTTCATCTTTGTGAACTTGTGGAGAGCAGATAGGAAAAGATGATGGTATCATTGATGGCAAAGGAAGTGGATGAGGTGAATTTGGTACATAAGGAGAATTTGGGATATTTTTAAAATTATTTGGTCTACTCAGATTAGGTGTAAATGCATTACAGTTTAACATATCACTGCACAAAGTCTCATTTAATCTATATCCATCTTGTGTACAACTTGGCTGAATCTGTTTACGATGCAAGGAAGCACTCGCACTTCCTGTTAGCATCATATGACCTGGCATATTTAACCAGGAATCACAGACAATTGCAGATTTTGTCAGCGTAGTACTAGCATTATTCGTATAATTCATGTTTTCTGAGGCATAGTTTGATAAGAAAAGTTGAGGATTATTGAATTGGTTTTGTGACTGCTGTCGTTTTTTATTGTCTGATAGTGGATTACTGATAATTCGTATACTACACTCTTGACCCTATCCAAAGACAATTAAAAGAAAAATGGATGATAATATTGAAACAACATTACAGAACAAAACTAAGCGAAGTTTAAAAATAAAATTTCATCCTAGGTCATTTTTATCAATTCAGACTTCAGAGAATGAAGTTGCCTACATAAAACATCCGGAAATATTGAAATGCTGGATAGGAATTCGAATCTCTCAGCGATCACATCTTACTTGGAGTTGTGGCAACACTAATCAAGTGAACTACTTAAGAGAAAAAGTGAAAATCGTGAACCGGATTAAAAACGTTTTAGAACAATTTTTTGAGAAGCAACAAGTCGAAAGTAATCTTAATGCAGTTAGATAAAGTATTCATTAATTAGCAAACCCCAGGAGAATTAGTCTAATAAATGAATAATGTTTGTAGGATTGGTTATGCCATCGGAACTGTTTTATAATTCGTTAGTTCGTGGAAAATCAGTCAACTTGAAGGCGATTTCCACCACAACGGATTTAGAACTAGAAAAATTACTGAAAACCAAGGAGTAAAAGAGATCACTTTCGTTCCAGTTTGATACTCTTCTACAATACATACAACAAATAATAATAATTGTCAGCTGTGTTACTGTTTCACTAAATGAACGAAGCTGGGACACATATATGATTAAGCTTCAACGCATACACTTAAGGGTGTGTTCTTGTTGCAATACCTACTAACCCAAGAGTGGATGTCTTACGGGCTTCTGAGAAATCCAAAAATTTAACAAAAAGTTAAAATCCTAGTCCTTGCTAATCTCCGATAGTTTTCAGCGTGATATCAGAAAATGATGAAAAGTGTTGATTATTTGTTCTTAGTAAAAATTTCTTGTTCTTCCATGGTTTAATTACCTTTCATCCAGAAAATATTCGATTATTCTATGAGCATCTCGGAGAATAACTGTTTCTTTTTTCAATCCATAATGAATACCAGCCTGAAATCAACCCATAAATCTCCACAAACCTCAAAACTGAATTACTTTAATGCTCATTGATGACTCACTTCGAGAGGCGATTCCCGAAGTTCTGATGAAAAGTCATGACCGATGGGGTCATCTAATTGCTAAACATGAGTACGGTTCCTCACCGACGGCAGTGGATGGAGGTTTTGCTATATCGTGAAGTGACAGGAGTAGGAAATATGAATCATTTCAACCAAATGGCGCAATGGTAACGTGCTGGCCGGGGAATCTGGAGGTCCAGGGTTAAATCCCTGGTGAGGTGACCGATGAGGACTACTAAGGAGTACCATACTAAAACGAAATGGCTGTTCGGTGCTCCCAGGTTTTCAATGTTTCTTCAACTGATGTCAGTGCATGATGAACACTGAAGTGAAATCAATGAATAGTTTAGCGTTGATACATCTCAGTCACTTCTTGAGTTGTTGAAAAATAACTCCACGAATTCGTTAAGGTTTACGTCTCAATCTACCAACCTTACAAACCGGTTCATGCATGTGTTTCCTCTACAAACATTTCCATTGTATAATAATGTGTTTCATTATGCTAAAACCTTACGAGTTTCAATAGTGTAAATGTGAGCGCCAAGTATGGTTCACCTCCAAGAAAGTCATTTTAGTGTCAAATAATATGCATATGAATACGTATGAACTTGCATAGTTCTGTGAAATTTAATCTGCATAGGAAAGATTGACGATGTTTAAAATATTGTTGTCGGTCAATGATTATAAACAAATTTCAAAAACAAGGTCGACTGTTCAATGAAAATCTACGCGTAGAATCCTGTAGTGGAATAAACTATTAAAAATGCACAAGTACACTTAACTGCATTTTTAACCGGTAGATTACTGTAATATGAAAAAGAGATTTCCCTTTTTCACTTAGGCTGGAGAAATGAGGAATTTGGCCATGACTTTCACCATCTCACCTCAGATGTTTAGCGATGAATTTTTTTGATCGTCCACAAGTATCACTTACTTCAGATATGAAGCTGAATAGACATTCCCCCCTTTTTTTCAAGCTTACCTATAATGGAAATTCTACTCTTGAGCACTTGTTGGTGGCTCACATCTTTAGGACTAACCTAAGTCTGTCGACTAAGTTTGGAGTCTATTAGCCAAGTCAAGTGCAAGGATGCTGCAAAGCAATGTATATAGTTGGTAGATACTGCAAAATCATTGGTACGAGACCTTTATACACCTAGGTTATGTATTTGGTATCACTTCGAGGTTAGGCAGATTTAAAACAGAAGGGAAAATGACATCTTCTTGATCAACCAAACGCAGGTCATTCAATTCGATATCCAAAGGATTTATCAGTTAACCCTTTGGGCTTACTTTTTATAAAGTCTGCAACTTTGAAATCAAGTGTTGAGTTATTTTAATAACAATATATCATTGTTAGCTAATATGGACGACAGAATGTGAATTTTTAAAATGGTAACTGAGAAAACCCACTCTACCTGATAATTTCTTTGTGTTACTGCAGTTGTATGACGTCTTGATTGACGTCCAAGTGTCTGACATTCACTTTTCGGTATATTAAGGGCAAGTGACAACTGATTGGCTAATAAAGAAGTAGGATTTGTTTCGTTTGGATAACTGAATTGTGTAGAATTAGCACCTGCAAGGAACAAAAATCGTGAATCTGATTCGATTGTACCTGAAGGTAAAGTATCTTGCCAGACCCCTTCACGATATGGTGATTGCAACAACAGCATATCAGCTTCACCAACAGACAGTACAGCAGTTGTAGAGTTTTTCTTTGCTTCACCACATTGCACTGAACGTTTATTTGCATGAAAACGTTTTCGATCTGGTTGTGTGACATAACTATTATTACCAGTTTTAATAGTTGATGTTGCAGGGTAACGAAGATGTGGATTATAACTATTTAAGTTATCATTTTCTCCTTCAGTTTCATTTTGTTCACCAATTACTTGCTGACGACCTACCCATACCCAACTTGAGTCTCGGTGTAGCAATGGCTGTTATGGCAGAAATGAAAACCGTTATAGCAAAAGCAATAATTATAATATTTATGTTGATTTTAAAACGTACTTGGATTTCGCTATTTCGAAGGTTAAGAAAAAATGCCCCCTTTAACACGATTAAAAATATCTGATAGTCATTATATAAAAGTTAAATGAAGTGAAAGTATCTCATGACTTTTTCAAGACAAGTTAATTCAAGTGTATGAAATGAAGAGTCATTGAAAATAATGCGAAATTCATTAGTATGAAAAAAGTACGTATAGTGAGTTGAAAATGCTACTAAGTAACTTGCAGGAATTTATATTATATTCTTAGTGTTTAACACTTTAATGGCTTAACTGCAGAACTTTCATCATGTTGTTAGATAACATACTCCTCTTCAAATGAAGGAAGAAATGAGCTATCTGAATTTCATCCCAGTTGAGAGATGAGTTTATTATTGTGTAGCTATGTGCTCCTAATGATTTTTTCATAGATCTTATCTTGAACTGTATGAAATACAGAGTAAAACATCCCCTTAAATGATGCAGAGATAGAATGATTTTGTACGTGTGGATGAATTCTAAAAAGTGAAGTCATTTTCTGTGATAGTGTAGAATAAGATAAGCGAAATCTTCATAAGTAACCGTAAACCGTTGAGGCCTTTTCAACCAATCGCTTTGCTTCGAAATTGTAGAAAGAAACACGTCAACCAACTTGTAAGTATCAAGTTGGTTGAAGCGATGAAAAATCGATAGAATTTAAATCTAGTAGGCTTGGAAATAACCAAGGCCATGGTTATATACATAAAATTGTTGTCGTTTATACATATTGTCTGACGTTGCCATTGACGTTGTAAATACACCTCTTCTATCACCGCCTTTTTCTGTTTACGGAGAAGCTGAGTGACCATCAAGAGTAGAAACTGAAGTTACTGATAGAAATATATAAAAGTTATCATTTGACTATCTGAGGTAGCCGTAGTTTGGCAGACTAGTATTTTATACTGGGTGATGATTGAAGGTGAGGTGAAAATTTGGACCGCGGCCGGACTCGAACCAGCGACTACTGGGTTCGAATCCCGCTGAGGCCCTGAATTTCACTTAACATACAACCATCAGCCAGTATTAATATATCGAATTGGCAACTGAAGCTATATAAAAATTTTCAGTAGAGGAATTTTGACTTAACAGTTAAATCTTGTTGCTCAATACATGACGGAGTATCACAATCTTGACGATGTTTTGGATGATTAAACAGTCATTAATGACTGAGTTTTAGACTGAGAGATCAATTCAATCTTTATTTTGTTAAAGCATTAGAAAAGAAGTTATTTAAAATTCTTGATGTTGTTCTAAGGTTATCACTAAGAAAGATATTTCATCCATCGGGTCAAACGAATGATTTTTGAACAAGATAGAAAATCTCTTGGACAAAAATAAATTAGGAAATTTCGATAAAATTTCATCTTGGATAATAGCTTAGTGTTCTCTGAGGTTTGAGGTTCGCTTACTCACGAAGTCATCAAGCCTGATAATGAAATGTTTAGACACAACCTAATATTAACCTCTTGACCCATAAGTCCTTATTAGTTTCATCTTTATTATAAGTGATAACTAAATTTAATAATTCAACATCAGTTTGATTCATTTAAGTTGTTTGTTTTAAAAGTGGAAAACTGATTAAATGGCGACAAAAATCTTCTTGGGCTTAGATCTTCCAAAAGCCATGTACAACTACTACATATTTAGGACTTTGTAGGCGTTTTGGTCTTGTAGCCACTGTAATCCAGTGTTAGGCTTGAAAACCTAAAGTCATTGTTTCCTCATATAGTGCATCTTGAAAATGTCTAATCCAATCTGTTTTCATCTCAGTGAAAATCACAAGCTTCAAGTTAGGTTTTTTTGTCCATATTCTGTCAAGTTTCAGTTGATTTTAAGTAAGATCCAATCTTCGAACTTAATGAGTTGCAATAATATCCTTCGATAAATATTTCAATTACTTCAGGAACATGGACAGAGAATTTGTTGAATTACATCAGAAATCCGACGTAAGTAATTCTGATCTTTCTTCACAAGCGATGTTGTGTAATTCTACTCCATAATTATGAAAATCCTTTATATTCTATTCTACTTGAAAACCCTGATTTTCCTCTATATTAACAAAGTGAGATATTTTTATACGTAAAACTTTATGGCGATTACTTTCAGGTCAAATGCTTGTTCAAATCACAGTAAATCTACAGTTTTGGTTGCTCCAAAGTGTATGAAGTAATTTTGACCTTAGTGTCAAGGTTTAATTAAAAATGATCAAATGTATACACCGACATTTAAAGCCTGATACACACCTTGTGAACGTAAAGATATCGTTTTCAGTCAATTATAAGAACTATAGACTTTTACCACATACAATGCGACTGGATATTCTAATGTGCTTACAGCTAGTATTTGCTAACCAATCAGCAGGTGTACTCTGAATAGTTAAATCCATACATAACTGTTGTAACTTCTCTATGCCTTGTCATTGTATATGAGGGGTACTTGTTGAAAAGGAGATATTGAAAAATTGGGAGAATATTTAATCATTCAAGATACAATCTCTTCGAAGGTAAAGCACCTAAAATTGACCAAGCACTCAACTCGCTGAGGTCATTTTTAGACTGCTTGTAGGAATTAACACATTCCTGCCAGTTGTATCTGCTATGGAAATGTTAACTATAATAAACCAGTTATGCTTCTTGGATGGCATTTAACAATAATTCATTGATGAACTTGTCGCTGTTCATCTCAAGACTATTAAGTAGCTAAATTACTTAGTTTTCAGGTCATTAAGATAATTTCTTTCACAATCGAATCAGATGAATGAGGTCATTATGATAATTTTTGGTTTTAGGGGTTAAGTTCTGTTATTAGATACACTAGATAATAAGACGGTATTGTTAATAGCATGATGTTGACAGCACGATATGTTTGCTTATGATCATATCAAGGAAACCATACATTTTTTGTATTTTGTTTTCATAATAAAACTGTAGTGTAATTGTACTTCACCTGAGTAGTTTCTTAATCCTACTTTCGTTCATAGTATTTAGGTTTAATTACCTTTCATTTCAGGTGAACAAGAATGATTTCTACTTTTAAATTGTTATTTTTGTGAGGTAATAGACAACGGGATTTTCAATAAGTTTTTGTCTTTCCAGGGAATATTAATTCCCAACAATTTCACTGCAGAATCACATCTGAATGAAATTTTCATCCTCGTCTTTGTTCAAAATATTCATTTGTTTTGGAGAACGTTTAAAACATAGTTAAATTAATCGAAAATACTCTGAAGTTGTCAAAATCTTACTGAGCAAGGAAGCGAAGCTCTGATCCATCGATGACGATGTCTAGCATGACACTGAAGCATTTACCAACTTAAATTCTAGCTAAGAGAACAATTAAATTGGAATATACACACCATGTGGCATAAATATTTGCCAAAAGTTTTATAACTAATTACTTTAAAAATGACAAATACTTTACCTTGTGTTTGTGACGGCTTGTAAACATTGATGTAGCAGAACGTTTTGTACGCTTGGCACCATTTTTATTGTAATCGTTATGGTTATTGGTAGATAACAGTTTTTCATGATTATCTGCACCACTCTTTGAACGGCTTATCCATTTACATTTTGGTGAAGCAGAAACTGAAGGAATAATTTCATTATGTTCTAAATTATCATCGCCATTCGATACGACACCGGTAAGCGGTAGTGAAGGAGAAGGTGTGTTACGACCAAATGACTGGTTGCGTTTCCGTTGAACACAGCTGCCGGTAGTACTACTGCGGCTACAAGTATCGTCAGCAGCACCAACAGTGCTACTATTATTTGCATTCATTTTCTCCCAGCGATAACGTATAACAACAACTCCACAGTTTACAGCAAACACGAGCCCTATTACAGCAAACAAACCGAGTAAAATGTACATGCTCATTTCTAATACAGGCCTTGCACCGCTGCTATTATTGTTACTTCTATCACTGACTTCAGTTATCTGTTTATTACCACTACCACTAAGACCACTGGCGTGTTTATCATCAGCATCTTTTGCCGATTCTTTATTGTCTAATGGACTACTGCCACCCCCAACGTCGGATAAAATAGACTGTGTGTCATCTGAACTAGTAGCAATAAAAGCGTTTGCATCAGAATTTATGGACACTGAGTTGCCTTTGAAAGATCTTCCTTTAGCCGAATTCTTTTGCTTTGTTGAAAACAATGATGATGTTTGTGATGAATACTGAGAATAACGATAATCTGATTCAGGCGCACCTTTCACTCCTCTTCCTTCTGTTTCTGTCAAGGACAATACTGGTTGAGAACTATAATAACCAGGCGAATCTTTATATGCCATTGAACCATGTACGTTTTTTCCACCGGTTTCGATTTCCTGTTAAATGAAATATGAAAGTATGCATGAAGACAAATTCATAGAATTTTGGAGGCACAAAAATCAATGAATTGAATTTTAAGTCTCACAACCGTTGTATATATTTTAATTTTAATCCAAGAATCAAATAAGATTTCAGCCATTTTGGTGGTGCGCTCACGTATCTCTGATAAACATGAAAGTCTAATGATAAATATGATAAAATGTAGCTAAAATACACTAAGTTGTTGTCTGATTTCCCAAGTTGGTGAAAAGTTGAAGACTCAATGGTAAGTTTTTGATATTTCATGAAATCAGAGGCTGAGTTAAACCTAAAGTGGTGTGATTTCTTTTGCTGCTCACGTTTCGGTTCTTACAACCCCTAAGTTCCATCATCACCTTTTGGAGCATGATTCCCCACGATGAAAAAAAGTACCTACGTGAAGCTGTACTAACAACAAGTTGACATAAACAAAATTTTCAGTATTACTCATCAAACACACTGCATCATGTTTTTCTGATGATATGATTACCTCATGGGGATCAAAGAAGTCGTTCGCAATCACCAGATCTTTCCTCCGTGAAGCTTTACATTTTCGCTTCATTACTAGCTAAATTCCGAAGTTTTAGGTCAGGCTTTTGCAGTCTCCAATCAACACGAATTGTATACAGGTAAAAATTTCCCCTCGTTTCAGGCAGGAAATCTCCAGCTTCATCTTGTTTTTCATGCAAAATCATTCAAAAAAAAGAGCTTCTCTGGACTGCTTTTCTCCTTTAACTTCTTGCTGGGTATTTTCTAAATATGATACGGTCAGTGCAATGAGAACTTATTTCCTTTCTTGCATAAAATTGTGTTTGAATGTTATGTTAATATTCTGGCTACTGTTGGCATCTTCCTTTCTTCAGATAATAACCTCACAAATAACATTAAAAGCTTGTGTTACGTAATTGTTCTCAACTGACAACTAGATGACATGAAATCTACATACTAAAAATCTACTTCAGCAACTACTGAAATAACCAGTATCATTTCTTTAGTCTGACCAAACAGATAACGTTTTGATGAAATACAGAAACCAAATTGGTTATTTCAGGACATTCTAGGGTGACATTTGGAGTTATTCATGTAGGAACATAGAGTAATTATGAAGGGTTAAACAAGACGAGATCCTATTTCAACGCAACAACTTTTAGGTGCTGGAGTGAAAATACTCAGTTTTTTATTTCCTCGTTTTCTTTATTTCATTTTTAAGGTGTTTCAGGTCAAAGTCAGTTGGGAAACCGATGAAATAAAATGAACCAATTTTACTTAAACCCTATCGTTTCTCTTGCTCTGTTCAAGCTATATTTCTAGTGCTTTGACAACTTGAGGTGATTCAGTGTATATGTAAGTCAACAATCATTACGGAATGACAAATGGAAAACAATTGGGAATCTGAATGCACTGGACAGCCGATTCATCCTCAGCACTAAGCACCAGTGATGCGGTTTAGAATTGAACTGAGGACCAGAAACAGCTGCCATTGCTCCCTAGAATTTCAGTGGTTCTCTAACTGATATCAGTCCATGATGAATGCTAACTTAATAATAAATCCACTATATTGTTCCATGTATCCACTTTATATATTGAGTGCTATTATTCAAAAACTATTCCTATTACAAGATAGAAAAAATGCAAATTAACTAAGAGTGCAGTTAGAGTGAAATAAAAATATTTTTCTGTTTTATTAATTTTATGAACTTAAGTCTTAGTAGAAACAAGTTTTATAAGTTTTGGATATTTTCAGAAATACAATCACTTGATGTTCAGTGGATATTTCTACGAGTTTTGAAAAAAATCAACAGATAAATTAGTTTTCTTGTCATTTAGCCTTAAGAAAACTTTTGTAATCTTAATCCTGCATGCAAAAAGAGATTGCGACCAATCGATGTTAGTTCTAGTAACAATGTTTTCGTCTGGATAATAAGCTAATCTTTTAGTGTGTATGTTAAATAACATGAATACATTTTTTTCCAATTTAATAAAGCTTAGTAAATTTTGTTTAACGGAACAGAATTCGCTGAGACAAACTTTGGTCACCTATGAATTCTACTGATCTAACTAGGCAAGATAATTTGACCTGTTCAATGTGTTGCATTACCAACGAGTCAAGTATATAAATCAAACCAGTTAACTGGACCCAAATGGTTTATGGGAGTTAGAAAAATTAGCTAAATTCAGAGTGGTAGGCCTTATCAAGACCAAAGTTCTGAGAAATTCTTCAGCATTTGGAAAATATGTGGTGACAGACAATCATACGATAGAATGTATCAAAGCAATTGAACTAAAGGCTAATAATGATAGGTGGAGAGATTAGTCTATTATCAAATGCATTTCTATTGATATCTACAATAGAAATGAGTAATGGAAAGTTCAACTTCCACTAAAAATAAAAATGAGAGGTCATATGTTCAGAGTTATGTGGTTAGATGGATATGATTATGAGTATTCATTTTTTTGCTGGATTTTTCAACTTGTGTGTCACATTGTATTACTGTTGTCCCGTATCAAATAGGGTAGATTTGAATAACATTCTATCATACTGTCAGCACTTTACTCATGTGTTATTCAAGCTCTTAGGTGAAACTCATCATTTGCTTCTGTGTTGTTGATGAAGTCATTACATTGCGAATTACTATAAATGAAAGTGTATTTCATTGGACTAGATATTTGATTTTCAATCAGTTGATCACAGAAGTGAATACCACTTCACTAAACATGATCTTGGTACCATGATTAAGAGTCACATAGTATGCTTAGTTGACTGTCTACTGCTGGAACAAGTATGTAGTTCTGTAGTGCTTTGATTTTTCCTAGCTTTACTCACTAGGTTGCTTGAGTACTCTTTTGATTGTCTCATTATCGAGTATATTTTTTTATTGTCATGTGAAATGTTTATTTCATTATTTGCTTAACAGTTATTCTACCAAGTTTCACCAATTTTAGTCTGTTTATTAGAAGGATCATACATTGGAACAGTACTATCAGTTACCAGTAAATAAACAAACTAAGAAACAAAATCTACCACATAGTACGAGTTTTACTCTTATGTTAAGGTTTCGACAATTTCCACCATTATTATTATTATTATTAGTCCCTTGGGTTCCCAGTGGAACATAGGGCTTCAGTAGCACGTCTCCAGTGCACTCTCTTCTCTGCAGTCTTTCGAACCTGGCTCCACGACAGCCCACAACCTCTCATTTCCTCCTCGCACGACCTCCTCCATGTCACCCTCAGACGTCCAACTCGTCGCCTCCCATGGGGATTCCACTCGACTGCCTGGCCTGACGCATGATGTCCCCAGTTGGCCTTCTCAGTGCATGCACAATCCATCTCCACTTCCTTCGAGTGCATATTTGTTGGGTGATAGGTTCTTGGTTGGTTCGTTCCCACAGCTCCTTCTTGCTTATTCCGACTATTCTGGCAATCCATCTGATCCTCAGTAGCGAGCCAGGGTAGGCAGTTGTTGATGAATGTCTGTAGTTTGTTGGAAATGCCTTTCGCCAAACGCCAAGTCTCTCAACCATCACACAGAAGCACTGACTTGATTGACGTTGGTGTTTAAAATCCGGATCTTGTTCCACATGCTGAATGCAGAAGATCTCCACACTGGTTTCAGGCTAATGAACGCCTGTCTTGCTTTTCCGATTCTGACTTTGACATCCTCATCTGTGCCTGTGCCGCCTGTAGTTGAAACAGTGCTTCCTAGATAAGTGAAGGAGGTTACTTCCTTTAAGTTTCTCCCGTTGATGGTGACTGGAGTTTGTTGTTGTTGGTGGTGGTGGTGGTGCGGTATCTTCATCACTTCTGTCTTCTCTATATTCACCTGAAGTCCCGTCTTCGCTGCCTTTTCTGTCAACTTGTTAGTTTTTGCCTGCAGATCTTCAAGTTTATGTGACATTAGACACAAGTCATCGGTGAAATCCAAATCTTCTAGGTTCTTTTATGCAGTCCAGCCAGCGTATCCCCCTCTTCTCACAGCTTCCCACTGTTTGCTGCATGATCCAGTCGACCACAATCAGGAATATCATGGGGATAGTAGGCAACCTTGTTTCACTCCTGTATCCACTTCACTTCAAAAGCATCACTGAGCTTCCCATTGTGAATTACTTGGCATGTGGCATCTTCATATAGTTGTTGAATGAGGCGGATAAAGGTTTGCGTAACTCCGTAGTATTGAAGCAGTTTCCAAATTACCTCTCGTTCGACGCTGTCAAAGGCCTTCTCAAAGTCGATGAAGTTGAGGTAGAGAGCTGATTGCCATTCTATGCTCTGTTCTATGATGATACGAAGCGTTGCAATTTGGTCCGCACATGATCTGCACTTCCTGAAGCCTGCCTATTCCGGTCGTAGTATCGAATCCAGTGCATCTTTAAGCCTCTCCAGGATGATGCGGCTTAATATTTTACTCGGGGTGGATAGGAGAGTGATTCCGCTCCAGTTCTTGCAAACACTGAGGTCTCCTCTCTTCGGCAGTTTGACAAGGTAACCCTTCTTCCAATCACTAGCCAGGTACCTTCTCTTCCTTCCATACCTTCTACAATAGTGGTGTGAGCATGTCTGCACAAAAAAGAGGAAAAATGAGTCAATTATGTCTGTCAGTGCTTTAAACCATATTCAGTTAAGGAGGAGTCTTTCGACGAAATGAATGTATTTTATCCAGAAAATTAATTCTGTTCACCTTGAATAAAAATTACTGACGGCTAAATAAATATGGAAATGTCGTTCATTATTTGTTTAAAATATAAAACAAATGGCATTAGAGTAATTATAAAGATAACAGAAATCAAAATTCTTGTTTGTTTCAAACTAATAAGACTGTTGAAGTGTTTTTAATGTTTCGCGTATCATAAATATTTGTATATTGAGTCAAAGCGCACCAATCCCCTATGGGAAGAATTATTTCCTCTACATGTATTTCGCTGGTGCATGTAATAATAATAGTGGCTTCTTTCTGAAAGATATTTCGCAAATACTACACAGAATTTTCAGCGTGTCACAGAAAAAATTAGAGAGGAATAGTGTATATGCTTGCTGTATTGTGCTCTCTGAGCTGAGTTGTTTGGTTGTGGAGCTTTCATCGTCTTTCTAGACGGCATCATCACCACTAACTTCAGTATGAAGTGAGGTGTTAATATCTCTCTATGAGCGATTTAGTGGCTTTCCATGACGAAGTGGTCTATGACTGGCTGCTTCATTTGAATGTTGTGTCACCGACTGTATAAATGCTACTCTTGGCTGTTCCCTTGCTTGACCTCTGACTTTTCTGTCGACATTTTATCACTCATTACAATGTACGCGGATAATTACGGTCATGGATTCAATTTTGACATTTTGAAATTTTGGACGGAGGAAACATAAAGAATATTTGAGAATTCCCAGAAGCTTAGCATTCAGGTCAGTCAGCAATCCATAGATATATAGACATAGATCTAATCTACCAACCAATGAGAAAAATGATAAACGACAGAAAGGTCAGAGGTCAAGCAGGGGAACAGCCAGCAGGAAAATTTTTACAGACAAATGACACAACGATCAAAGGAAAGAACCAATCACAGACCGGGTCGTTACGGCAAGCTACTAAATCACTTACGGAGAGATATTGACAGTTCATTTCATGCTGAAGTTAGTGCCAATGATGTCGTCTAGCAAGACGACGAAAGCTCCTCAACTAAACACCCCAACTCAGACAACACAACCAAGACCATTTACCTGAGCTGCAAGTATTCTGCACCATTTAAAAGTGTTTTTGCATGCATAGAAAATTAAATAGGTATGAGTTACACAAAAAAGATGCAAATATTCACGACTTTCTTGAGAATTCATAGTTAATTTACGTAGACAGCCACACTGGCAGTTGGTTAGATAATGCATAAATATTAATATGATGTGTACTCACCAATATGTTTGTCGTTTAAGAATTGTTAGTCTTCAGAAAATAGATTGTGCAGCGTATAATAGCAGAGTAACAGATGTCTCGCAAAACTAATTTAGATCCAGTCAATAAGTCTAATCGCCACCTTTTAGCTTCTAAGTTATCCAGCACCCGGTAAGTTACGCATGACTGATGCCTAGGTAGGCTATCGACTTAGACATTTAGGTCTAATTTTCAGGTTTTCGAAATCTTGCGGCTGAAACATTTTGGTGTGATGATCGGGTATGAACCCATTATTTACCATTATTTTGAAAGATATAAGTTTTGATCTTTTATACTGGATAGTGACAAATACCTCGGAAAGGAAATATCTTTAGTGTGAAAATTCTTTATGATTAAAACGTCACAAATCGAGTTCGACGTTATTGTTATTAAGAAAGCTATTCAGAACAATGAAATGTTCACTGACTAGTTGGCATGACTGTTAATTTTTTTTACTTTAGCTTTCATATCATAACTTTTTTCTTAGTTACAGATGGACAGTTCATCCTGCCAACACCTATCTGATCATTGAGATAACACGTTTTAGTCTATCGGAAATGTAGCTTACCAAGTGTTTGGTTACTTTGCCTATGATTTTCTGCTGAAAGCGGCTAACTTCCTGCAGAAAGGATATATTTTTGCTCAGCGATGGGGCTGAAAATCTAGTGGTTTCATGAATTTTTACTCAGTGCTTTGTATTTTCTAAAAAAAAATCTAACGACAATAATTGTGGAACTTTCTTCTTTGACAATAAAGGATTTTTCTAACGTTGACATTTTGTGTGGTTTATTAATCAATTGTTTACTAACACTCTGGAACATCTAAGTTTCTAGCTGATCATTAAGCAATTCTAGTAAACAACCTGAATCATTCATTAATGAATTTTGAATAGTAAGTTTTCTCACTATTGAAACGGCCTACAAGTTAGAAAAATAAAACTAGAGTTTATTGGTATTCATCAGTAGCTTTAAAGAACTAAAGTTCCGTCAAAGATTTGATGTGTTACAAGCTGGTAAAAGTATATGCCTAATAATAATTGAGCGATCATAACCAAAACTGACGACAGAAGAATTTGAATAATTTCATAGCAGTTACCAGCCATGAATTCCCACAGGCTTTCATTTCTTCCTCAAACGATCTCCTGCATGTCACCCTTGAGCGGATGCCTAACTTGTCGTTTCTCCTTTGGGTTCCACATGATGGTCATATTTACTTCTTGGGATTCATAAAAATATGCTACCTGATATTGCAGAAACCTAGGTACATTTATCTATCTGTTAACTTTCGATACTGAATAAGACTGTTTTGTTTTTCCCTGTTATAATGGATACCTGGACGAAAAGCTGTGCGACAAAAAAATACGACTGGACTGATTGAACAACTTAATGATGAGAAAATATTCAGTTTAGGCTTTCTTAGGCCATGTAATCCTCGAAACTGTACAATCGTGACTATATAAAAATGTTTGAGGTATTAAAGTTCTCAATTTCAAATATTTACAATAATTTGTTTCGCTGTATTTGGAGGACATAGCAGTAAACACAGAAAGTTGTCATTAGTAAAGTTACTAAGGATAGTGAAGGCTGATTACAGTCTCAAACAAGAATAAAAGCGATCAGTTTTCGACAGCAAGATTCACAACAAAATTAGACCCATGAAGATTGGATTGTCACCTAATGCTCCCAGAGACGAGTAGCAGGTGGTATTACGCAATAAGTCAGCTGAATTGTAAAATATTGCTTACTAGTAACAAACATCTTGGTGGATTTTATTAAATTTCAATGAGAAGACGCATCTTATGGGGTTATTTAGTCTGAGTGTGATGGCAAACAGTCACTGGTGACACTGTTTGATAGTCACGCTAAACGGTGAATTGATATACATAGAAAAATATAGACAATAAGATTGCAACCCAACAAATCAATGCTAACATGCATGTCATGAAACCTGTAGGTCCTGCGTTTGACCCTTAGCGGGCTCATGGATAGGCGATGATGAGAAACCCCATAGCAGCACGAGAAAGCAATACAATCCTTTTAGGTTTCCAGTGGTCCTTCAGCCGATGTCAGACCATGTCAACACTCAAAGAAAAGGTGGTTTGAAACTTTGAGTATGAAGGCAGTACAAGTGGAAGAGATCATACAATCCTCTTTGTGAGCAAAGCTTTTGGATTCCGTATATAAGTGACCAAAGATTCTCATGTGCAAACAGGTGTACTTATATTACATTTCGCAGATTTCATTTCTTCATGCAGAAAACATTGAAACAAGAAGCCAGAATTGTGAGATCGTTGTAGATAAAATTTTCAATGAATAAGTTGATAAAGAAACTGTTACCTATTTTATGATTCTCCCCTTGAATAGTAATATATTCAGTAAAGTTTTAAGCATGTGACATATATACCGTTTGAAATACTGTTCAGTGCTATTTGAATCGGTAAAAAAGGTTTACGGATTGCATAAAGAATACAATTATAAAACAATTAAATATTGACCTTTTAATTACAGACGTTTTAGTTTTCAAGAAGCCTTGAAGTACATTAAACATACTGTTCACAATATAACTTCATCCATCCATCCTCTGGATTATTAAATTGACAAGAACATATCTCTATCAGTTTTTCTTTATAAATGATTTCGTTAGTATTTCCAACCTAATTGCATCAAACTAAATGACAGAATATGCAAACATTTTAAATAAAAGTGAAAATTTAAAGTAGTTTACCTGTAGAGTTTTCGCATCCACTTGATTTTTATCTCTATTTCTTATATAATAATTCATAGAAATACCATTATTTGGTGTTACTATATCTCCATGAATACGGACATGTGGAACTAGAATGTTTCCACTTGGTGATGTTAAACCAACTTCCAAAACGTCACCTGATTTCAATTGTAACCAAAAGAAAAAGTGTACATTTATTATTTATAAAGGGGAGAAGTAAAATCGAACGAAAGATAAGTAACAACACAAAATATTCTAGGCTTTGTTAACATGAAATGTCAACTGAAGCTACAGCTCAGAGAACGACTCAATCTACCTAGTTTGTTTTATAGAATTAGGTGGCAACAGGATTTCAGAAATATGATAACTTATTGCAGATAAATAAGTGCGAAATTGTTAAAAATCTGGAATATGGCATTAAGGACTCGAGCATTTTACCCAATGTAAGTGTAAACATAATATTTAATGATAATAATGGCTTAATTCTGAGCGCTATTTTGGGAATATTACACAGAATTTTCAGCATGTCATATAACATCAGTTGGATAAAAACAGTGAATATCCATACACAGCAAAGTAGGGAATTATAAATTATACATAAACGATAGGAAGATTCGCTCCATCTACAACTTTCTTCAAAATACACAGTTAATTTAGGTATACAATCATGTTAGCAATTAGATTCATAATACATAAATAATAACATACCGTGTGCTCATTAATTAGTTTGCTTTTAAAAACAGAAGTTGATTAGCTAGTTCATTTGGAATGCTTTCTTCATTACACAGGAGACGAGCTAAATGCGGCAATGTCGTACATGCATAAAGTTTTACGTACTTGCTCCTTATCTTTACAGATGACCGACACGAAGGGAGCTTTGAGAGAAGATGCGGGTTATTTGGTAAAATACCTCCTACCAGATGTTCAAATGAATTAATACGTCTGTCCACAACTGTTTCAATTAGAAGATTTCTAGATGCACTATTAGTTCTGCTGACAATCTTCAAAGTTCTACGTAATACTGTATAGCCTTTCTTCAGCAACTCCAGAAAGAATTAAGGGAAACAGTGGAGGAGAACAGGCAAGACGCAGTAATTTATAAAACGCAAGAGTAGAGGCTCAGCTATACCAGATACTCTCAGCCTCCTAATATAGAGAGTTGGGCATAAAATCCTTTTAGAAATTAGTAAGATACAGGAGAAGTAAGAAAGGTTCGAAGAAAAACACTGCGGTAGATCACACTTGTAACACACTCTTGTGCAAAACTGCCGACAGAACAGGAATCATGAGAACTAAGCAGTTTACATTGGTTATATTTACATCTGAAGCTAAAGTTTATAGTCTGACATTTTGATAGATTGAGCATAAGATCGTTAACGGAGTACCGTCGGTTGGGGACAGTATGTTGAAGAGGAGACAGGTATTGAGACTGTTAGGTCATAAGTATATTTTATAAATCTGATAGTAGCTTAAGATGGTAAGTCATTCAGAAAGAAAGGAAAAAGACAATGAGAAAGGATGGTTCCTTGGGGAACACCAGTTACAGTAAGCAGTGAGCTGGAGCACTTCTGTCTGTGAGAGGTGTATTGTTTCCTTTCAGGGAAACAGGAATACAGCCAGCAGATTATCCGGGACTCAGCATGAGTCTAGTGTAGCTTGTCTAGAAAAAGAGGTCTTGGGACAGAATCACGTGATGAAGTATAGTCTTAAAAAGCACACCTGACATACTTGACATTACTATCAATATTACAGGCAATATGGTGATACAAGACAGAGGTGGCATCCACAGTGCTTCTTCTGCTTTTATATGCAAACTGACTGGGGTCTCCGAAAGTCTTCAGTGAGGATTCTCCATGGAGAAGCAACTGCAGTTAGATGAAATTCCGGACATGCATCTGGTCTGGAGTCCCTGATCTAGGTACGGGGGTTAACTTAATATCTTTCCAGGCAGCTAGTATCATGTTTTCTAAATACAATCTGTCAAACATGTTAGCTAAGTGATGGCGTAAAATGTCAGCACACCTCGTGAATACGAAGCTTCAACGACCATGTAGACCTGAACTGTGTAAAGTTCAGGGATTTGAGACATGTGAAAACGTTTTTCTCGGATAAATCCAGACAATGTTCTTCATTAGAATTGTGTGGACAGAGTGAGATGGGACAGGTGGGTTAGCGTATAAACGATTTGCTCAAAGTACAGACGTCAATATGTACTTCTTTACTAAGGTGTTTGCTACCATTGGGGTCTTTAATAAGTTTCCACATGCTGGAAGAGCCTTTATATGACAGAAGTTTCTGATCATATGGTAGACTCAAACGTTTGATTTCCAACCTGATTAAAATGTTCAGTTGACAAGCAGCAGCCCAACCACTAACTTTATGTAGCCTTTCTTTTCTCCTTAGTTTCTTAAGCTACAGGGAAGATATACGACCGAAGCGTAGTAAACTTTTTTCACTGGAGCAACAGATATCCAGGTAAAACTTGAGATAACATGTCATATCATCAGTAGTGTCATTCAAAACATCACTAGCAAATATGTTCCAGTTTATACATTGTAGTATTTCTCTTAGGTTATTTATGTTAATACGTGAATGGTTCTTATTTACTGTCCCCGTGTCTGTCTAATTGCAGGAGATGGACTCATTTTAACGTTCGCAGAATTTCATTTACAAGATTTCCAACGTCCATCAGAATATTTTAAGAATGAACATCTGCTTTTTGAGGTTCATAAAGGTTATATTTGTTGGTATATGTGCCTAGAACAAAAGTGTGAAACAACTGATTTCAGATAGGCTGTTGATTTCCACTTTTAGATGTTATCACATGTTTGAATCAGGTGCTGTTGTTTTCAAGAACTACAAGTACACACTAATAGAAAATTCAAAATTAGGAAAGAAAAACTGTCTAATTCTTTCTCTTTTTCTATGATTACCTAATAATTACTTGGTCAATGTGATTTGATGAAAAGTAATTTCAAAACAACTCTTGGCTTTGAAGATCAGCTAATCTAACTTGATTAAAACACCTTTTGGAAGCACAGATATTGAACTTTTAAGGTTATTTCACCAACATTAATCTCAGGACTTATCATAGATTATTACCAAAGGATCAGTTTGTGAGTTGTATTAAAAAAATAAGACTTATTCTTCAAGGAAAAATGTTTATTCTCACCAGAGAATTTCAGTCCTTTTTGAAGAAACCACACCACAGGTCCATACCAATAATTGCTTGTATTGACAGCAGACAAATCCTTCTCAACCTCATCAGTTGACAAACTTCTGTGAACTCGTTGCCTCAAAATTTCTAAAGGGTCATATGACACAGTTAAATGAGATTTCGCTCGTACTGAACGAGATTTTCGCAATAATGATTTGCCTGACAACGGTGAATTTTCTAGTTGATCAGAATATACAGATTTAGGAAGTGAAGAAGAAGTTGATGACCTTTTAGCTGACCTCATCCTTCTTTCTACTACACCTGCTGAATTGGTTTCAATCCAAAACAAATCGGGACGACAATTTCTAACTGATAAATTCAATGGAATTTTGTCTTTTCCATATAATTGTTCATAGATCTAAAACAGAATTATGTTTAATAGTTAGAAATTTCACTTTCATTCAAATCATTTGAAAAATTCAGTAATGTTTCATTTCCACCTGAAATCTATCTTTCCTTATTCAACCGATCGATTCCTGTTCTCATAAGTTCTTCTTGTAGATGATTTATTACTTTGTCATATTAGTTTAACTCAATAGTTGAAACTGAATTATATCAGTATTCAGCTTTGTGGGTGACTATGGTATTTACACCTTATTAAATCCTCTAGCAAAACTAATATTCATGATGCAAACATAGAACTAGTGAATCTATCTGTTAAGTGAGGCTTGTTGAAGTCAAAGTTTGCTTCTGATCCAAGTCTAATTGGTTGCTACAGTTGAAGAGTTCTGTACAATGCCAGACTTTCTTCTTAAAGTCTTCTGAGAATTTTTCACTAGGATAAAACTAGTTCTAATCGATGACATTCAGAATAATACTGATAGCAACTTTAAGCAAATGTCAACTTTACTAAGATTCTTTTTATTTCTATCAACTGTTTCATTTATTGTTAGTCGTAATTTTATTGGTTGTTCAAACTGTTTCCTTTTTATTGATCTGTTGAGTTAATTAAATTGAATTTTCTTCTACTAAAGGTAAGAGAGCAGAAGTTAGTTACAAAATAAACTTCTTCTCTGGTTAGATAATTGTTTATTACGACTAAGTTTATTTTCAGGTTATTTATTGAAAACTGAACACTGGGGTGAAATATCTAGCTTCGAGAACAATTAGTGGATACCAGGGTAATGATCACCGTCAGAATAAAACTTAAACAATGACAGGGATTTTGTCACTAATTCTTAAGTTACAAACATTGCATAATTCAGTGGTTCTGGAAAATTTTAATCAGTCTGTTAGGATATTAACTTCAAACTTTCTTGTGATGTGACGATTTCCCAGTGTATTAGGAAGTATTGATTATTTCGAAATGCACTAGTCATATTAGTGGATAATTTTAATGTGTAAGCAAGTGACAGACTTGCAACTTTTGCAAATTATCCAGTACAAAACACATCAGTCTTGCCAGCAATCGATAGGTCGTTCTGTAGTGGATTAGAGAACGTGCCTTTCGTGAAAATCAACTTCTCATCTACACGCTTTTCACCTAAAAAGCTGAAAATGGATAAAATTAATAAAACATGTATTGTTTCTTTGAAATTTTACTTCGGTCAGTTCATTTTTCTTCATTTCTTATCAGAAATAAGTTCTATGAACAACTGACTACGGGATACCATTAAGTGTACAAATCGATCACACAAATAACCCACTTAGTTCATCCAAAGTGTTGGCACTGAACCGTGTGAACTGGTCTTTTTCAACTACTTAAAAGCTTCCAACTAATGCATGCTTATATTCATAGGATATATAATATATTATATATTATATATATATATATATATATATATATATATATATATATATATATATATATATAATATATATTTTTCTATCGCTTCTACATATGCTACTCAGCTTATTACTCCCCTCAATTTCTACCGGTAGTACCAGTCTTGCGTACGAAATAAGTTGATAGTTATGAAGTTTCTTTTTAACTTCACCAAATCCACGCGTATGAAGTATTCATGAATAACTTGACATAAATAAATTCTGCTACATGCAGTTAATTGTCAAGCAGTCATGAGAGTAAAACATGGGATTTTCAGAATACCCTGGTAATCAGAATACACTTGACTATGAGAAGCAGCTGCAGTTTAAGTATTAACTTCAAACAACATGGGTTTTTATCGGCTGTCATGTGGATGTGTGATATGTAACTACTCGTTCATCATAATCACACTAGCTATGAACCAAGTACTCTTAATCTTAATTCTAATGAAGTTGAATTACAAATGGGAGGATTCACACTGATTATCAATCTACATGTCTCAGACAACTATGGTTCATTAGACTTCTGCTACAAGTATGTTGTAAAAATTGAGGGGAAATGAAAACCTTATTTGTTTCAGAATTCATACCAATAGCCTTCAGGTCATTAATTTGTTGCTCTGCTAGCTCAGCTATGAAACTCAGACACTGACCAGTATGAGTAAAACTGGTTAGTCCCGATGAAAATCCTTGTGACGCCCTACAATGGTAATTCAGACTGGGACAAGGGGATATGACCAGATAACTAATATGATTACAATGAATGTATGACTACTCATTACACATCAACATGATATCAGTGTAAAACTTGGGCACTATGGTAGATTGTAATTCCATTTTAGTCTGTTCATTAGAAATATCACACAGTGAAACAGCAGCATTTACCGGATAACGTGTCGGACACAATTTATTGTCCATATTCATATTAGGTAACTCCACAACTTCGAGACAGTCTTCATATATTCCTAGTTTTCTCTCCTTCTCTGTGATGACATGCTGCACCTGTCCAAGTTATATGGAAAATTCTGCTACCCTTGTCATCACAGAGAAGGAGAGAAAACTAGGAATATATGAAGACTGTCTCGAAGTTGTGGAGTTTCTCTAATATGAATATGGACAATAAATTGTGTCCGACACGTTATCCGGTAAATGCTGCTGTTTCACTGTGTGATATTTCTAATAAACAGACAAAAATGGGACATCAGCATGATATGCGGGAAAGCCAGTCAGCCAGCCAGGCAGAGTTCCTTGCTGCTTATTATTATTATTATGGCCACCTGATCTTCACCATCGAGACAGCGTAGGCGACAGCTGTTGGAGAATACTTTTCGTAAAGCGCCATCAAGTCTCTCAACCATCACATAGAAGCACTGACTTACTTGACTGGATCAATGTTGAAAATCCGGATAATGTTGACTCTTTATGCTGAGTGCAGTAGATCTCCACACTGATTTCAGATCAATGAAACTCCGTCTTGATGTATTGCCAATTCTGGTTTTGACACCCTCATCTGAACCTGTGCCATCTGTAGTTGAAACGATGGTGCCTAGGTAGACAGGTAGGTGAATAAGACAACTTGCTTCAGATTGTGCCCGTTGATGGTGATTGGTGCTTGTTTTTGTTGTTTTCGGTGGTGGTGTTGGTGGTGTTTGAGTATCTTCATCACTTCCATCCTCTCCACATTCACTTGAAGCAAGTCCCGTCTTCCTTCACCGCCTCGCCTCTCCTGTCAACTTGTTTGAACATGCCTGTAGGTCCTCGAATTTGTGTCATATTACACATAAATCATCATTGTGGGTGAAATCCAAATCTCCTTCCAAGGTATTTCCATCGGTCTTCTCAAACAGTGTGTGCCTCTCTTCTCGCTCCTCACAGTTTGTTGCATCATCCACTCCACCACAATAGTGAAGATCGTTGGTGATAGTAGGCGGTAGCCTCGTCTTACGCCTTCCTGTCATCACTTCACTTCAAAGGTATCACTGAGCTCTCCATTGTGAATCACTCGACATGTAGCATCATCACCGTCATATAGTAGTTGAATGAGATCGATAAGGGTTAGTGGTACTAAAAGCGTAGTGATGAAGCAGCAGCTGTCAAATAACTTCTCGGTCGACGCTATTGAAGGCCGGCCTTTTCCAAGTTGATGAAGTTGAGGTGGAGTTGTGTTGACTGGCATTCTATACTCTGTTCTACGATGATATGTAGAGTGGCGTTGCAATTTGATCCGCACATGATTTGTTCTTACTGAAGCCAGCCGGTTCCGGTCCCATATACAACAGACAAACCTAAAGTAGAAGTCAGGTTTTCATTTCATCTTCAGGCATCAATAATACCTTTCTGAGAAACCACAGTTATCTCAGATAGACTGATGACTATAGACAGCCATTTCTTTTACCATTAGAAGTGAGTATCGTATTCTTGCAAACAAGACAATTACTATTATTTACGTAACTATATATCTCCGCAGCTTATAACCTGAAGAAGTGGCATGATTGATCACTAGATTAAAGGAATTATAACTCGAAAATATTTCTCACAATCGCTGGATGATAAGAAGGTTGCTTTTTAATACCTCATTAATTCATATAAGCCGGTTTACCTAAGCGCAGAACGTTACCAAATTCTCCCATGCATAAATGATAACAAAAACAAAACAGACAAGAAATGTCAGTGTATAACTCTACAGAAAGTTTTCAGTTTTAACAGAATAAGATCAAGTATGAGGACAATTTTGTGTTCGACAGTTACTGACTCTGTAATTTTCTAAAATTATTGCTTAGACAGTCAACATCAATGACGCTTATGAGCCTATGACGAAATTGTCGTTCTCATTTCTTCATTCGATTATCCATTATCATAAGGATGAGGATACCTTTTCACCTCCTACGAATGCACAGGCGAAGCAACTAGTAAAGAAGGGTATGAGATAAAAACTATAAGTGAGCGTCGAAATTTAGGGATATACGTTCTCTTAGTACATACATCTAAAGAGTCCTAAATAGGACGAAATGCGCATAATATTAAGTTGATTGCTTCCTTACTCACGGATATTCGTTCTGTTTTATTTGATAATGCAGAGTGGAAGCTTATTCACAGAAATACAGCAAGCCTAGTTCTCCGCTAGCTTGTACCGATTACGAAATGTCTTAATTCACTCACAGGATAAGCAAGTAAATTGACACGGTTGTTAAAGTTCATCAACTCCAATGGCTGGCGCATATACTGCATATGCCGAGCCACCGTCTACTTCTATGTACCACGTTAATGGATGCTGGATTGGGTTGGAAGAGCGTTCAGTGTGGCCAGATTAAAATGTGGCTCCAGTGCATGAAGTCTCTGACTGTTAGTCTGAACCGTTTGGGAATACTCAGATTTCCTATTTAGGGTCACGCAGATGACAGGAATCAGTAGCTGGAGACTCCTTGTGAAACGGCTGACAATTGGTCACAGTGGCGCGGATATATTTATCACTTGACATCTATCGCTTTGATGCTTGCACTAACCGTTATTTTCAAACAGTTTATTCTTTCACACAACTTTTTCTTAATTGACGTCAGTCTTTTTCCACGCCCTTCCCTAAGTCTTCTTTGTATACTACTTTTAAGTGTGATAAGTTGAATTGATTCACTTGTATAAGGGGTTCTAAGTTGTTTTTGTCTGATTGTCTGTCTATTTATTTTACTGGCTGACAAACTCATAAAACCAACGTAGAACCACGCACACAAGTGTATCGGCTCAAGCTGTCACACTTAACAGCAGTACAAAGAGAACAGGTGGATGAAAAAAAATAATATCAAAACAGATAAGATGCTGTGTGAAAATAAACTATTTTAAAAAAAAAACGGTTGGTGCAAATATTAAAGCATTAGATGTCAAGTGATGAATATATCAAGGCCACTTTGACCACTTATCAGCCATTTCACCAGGAGTCTTCAACCATTGATTCCTATCATCTGCGTGACCCCAGAAAGGGAGTCTGAAAATCCCTAAACGACTTAGATCAGCAGAAAGAGACTTCATTGACTGCTGCCACGTCTTGGTATCGCTACCCTGAACCCTCTACGAACCTACTCGAGCTTGCCCTAGCATAGCACCTCGAGGTAGGCAGTGGCTCACCGTGGTAGGCACAGTACATGTTTTAGCTATTTCATCAGTTCACTTTTCTGACTTGTCTAGAATCCTTCCTCTGACCTCAACATTTCTCACACGGTGATTCCACCAAACTCAGCCAATGTTACAAAGACACTTGTGATCAAAAGCCTGCAACCGCTTCATGTCACCCCTTTTTAACGTCCATGTCCCACAGCAGTACAATAGGATAGAACAAACTACAAAGCAGTATACTCGTCCTATGATTGATAGTCGGAAATCTCGCCAGTCGGCGCCACAGGGGACGCAAGTTGGCAAATGCCAAATAGGCCTTCTGTATCCTAGCTGTGATTTCGTCAGCGACCAGCCTATTCGGGCTGATGCAACTTCCCAAATAAGTGAAGCGGTCGACATATTCCACGACTTCACTCCTTATCATGTAAGAAACGATTAAAATGTTCCACTTCAGAGCTTATTTTACATTTCAACCCTTCTAAGATATAAGGTTTTATTTAAGTTTATCTCCCTGAAAAGATCGATAAAAAAGCAGCCGTTTATTATGCAATAAGGGTGGTCAGCATTGGATTATGTAGACAACGAATTTTTTCCTAAATCTGAATGAATCTAAAAGACTGGTAGTGGTAAAATCCAATAATATTACGAGGTATGTTGATTTAAGGTAATTAAGAATTTCACAACTCAATAACCCTTATTCGATACTACTTATTTTTATATCCTCTTAGTAAGCTGGTATTTGATTTTTATCTGTGTATGTTGTTACCTAATTATTATTAAGACAGTTAAATTTACATTACAAATAATCTTACCTCAGCCATTCTATTCCATAAAACCGATGAACCATCTGACAAATGTATCCAGACTACAAGAAACCCAACTGAATTTGCCTGTACAAGACGCTGTCGAACATTATTTCGATTGAGATGGTCACTGGACAACATTGAAAGCTTTCTGTGCATATCGGAAGCTTCTTGACTAAATGCAGAGTTGATTGACCCACTATGAGTGAGCTTACTGCCTTTTAATTCAACGTGAACTGAGTAGATACCAGATAAAATAGGCTTACGTTCAGCTGATGAAGACGTAAATAAATTGTCCTGGATGTCATTCACATTGTTGGAAGTTGAAAAATTTTCACTGGCTCCTTGGTCCATACCGTCCATACCAGACTGGAGACTTATAAATACGGAGAAATCTTATCGAAAATAAAGATATAGACATATTTACTAGGAACTATTATGCTAACAAACACTCAGAAAAATACCTACTGTTAACATCTTACGAACTAATTTCCCTATAATGAATACACTACTTCCCAACATGCAGAAAATAATATCAAGTCTCTCGGAATCAATACATATTTATAAATCCGAACATTTGTTTAGAATGAATTGCCTTGGTTGCATTCGTAAACGCAATTCAAACAGTACTTGAACAGAGTGGAATTTCAGAATTTAAGCGCCTGTTTCTCTGTAAAAATCATCATGGTAAAGTGATAACGACATTCTCACATACTAGCTGGTAAGTTAACCTAATATTATGTACTTCACATTTTCTTCTCGATAGTTAGAATAGACACCTACCACCTTAAACAACGTGTTGAGATAGTCATTTGTCTTTTACTTTCAAATATGTATGACTCGAAATATTTCAGTTTTGTACACAATCTCGACATCACTTGGACCCGATTATTATGAATATTCTACCACAGTGAGATCATGATTGAAGGACGCAAGCAATATTCTCGTCGGTCATTATTTCGGCATCCGTTTTCCTAGTGAATTGAAAACAAAGTTGTTTCAACTTACATTTCACTTTATTACAAATTCCTCTACCAAGATTACAGTATACCGGAATTTGCACTATCCAGGCTTGTATACGATATCTCAATCTGAACTCTTCGCATGGATTATTCTTTGTTGACAAATAGTTGAGAAAGATGACGATTATATCTGGTGTGGTAAGTGTGATGAGTGTATGAATTGCAGACTGATGTTTGCATGTGCAAATATGTTTATGGTTCTAATCGTGATTGTGTTGGTTATGGCAGTATGCAGGAGTGGTTTGAAGCGATTTCAGGCTGTTTTGATCTCTCACTTAGCTTCGGACTACTTTGATTCCACCTTATGTAAAGATATTATCATGTAAATTGTTCTTCATAATTACCAAAGGCTTTGATTTACACAATGTCTCAGTCGACTTTATAATCTGAGATTTTAGCATGTAGACATATAACTAAACTGCTGCCAAGCTCCTCATCTCAACTGGATTTCTAGCTGGTCATTTGGAAGTCCCACGGCGTTGGATTTCTGAAATTTGATTTCACTCGGTTTTCATGATTTTTATATTGTATCACACTGTGAACATTTTGTTTTACTTGCACAGATAGACTGTGAACCTAGATGAATCTTATCGTACATAATAACCAAAGTGGTCTGTAGTGTGTTTGAAGCTTTGTAGAACAGTGTGATATTGTGTTCGTTCGTCACTCTTCCAATTTTATTCAAATTGTGTGACTTGTGTGGGATATACGACGGCCAAAGAGTAAAATCGTCTACTGTAACACTGAATTATTTAGATTTTAGCATTGAGGAAAACGAAGTACTACTGTAAATGGGTTTTCTGAGAGTTGATGGAAGCAGCTTAACAGTTAATCAGCGTTTTCTACCTAATTCTTTACAATTACTAATTTCTGATTTAGCACTTGCTGTGACTTGTTATTTTCTGCTATGACAAATGAATCACTCAAACATCAGTTCCCACTCTTTTTGTTTTCCCAGTACGAAGGCATGAGCAGCTGCTAACATAACACCAGTGATCAGTTCACTTAATCAACTTAATACTTCAAGACACTCGTTTATTACGCAGTAGCACCCGCATTTGCTGACTTCTGAACTTAGATTGAGTTATTCATATAAGGCTTGTACGTATGCTAGATACGTACAAAATAGAGATGAAGACAGACAAAATCAGTTTAGAACCTCACACAAATGCATCAACTTAAGTTGCAACACGTTACAACAGTATTCAAAAAATAGGTGGATAGAAAAAGATGGACACCAAAGTAGAGAGGGAATTTCAAGTTTAACGTTCGTCAAAACATGCAAGCTTTAGAATATATTAAAGTGAATACATCTGCTCTATTGTGGCCAATTTTCAGCCATGTCATCAAAAATTCTAAACCACTGATTCTTATCATCTATGTGACCCTAGCCAGGTAGTCTACACATCCCTACAAGGCCTAGACAAACAATCAGAGATTTCATGAACTGATGTCATATCTTAGTCTGACTACTCTCAACCCTCTTCCTGACGAATCTGGTTTGCTCCAGCAGTGCATGTCAAGTTAGATGGTGATTCGGCAAGTGCATAACATGTCCAAGCTCCCTCAGTAGATGAAGGTTTACTGCTTAACTTAATAACTAATCTTTCCTTGTCTAGTACCATTTGTTTGACTTCTATGTTGCTCACACGGTTATTCCACGGTTCATGAGCAATTTCACCGAGACTTGCAAACGCTTCATATCTTCCACTATTAACAACCATGTTTCACAGCCGTATACGAGGACAGAGTGAACTGCAACGCAATATACTCTTCTTTGAATGTCACTATTCACTGAGTGGCGCTAGAAATGATGCAAGTTGAAAAAAGGGATAGTAAAGAGATCTGTCATGACACACAGTAAGCTTTTAACCAATATTTTTGGCAGTATATTATGGAAATCATTATCGAGAATTATTGTTGACAACAGTAAAAAGTATGGTGAAAGGATATAATGAAAAAACGATACGGATCTTCTACTAACCTGTCACTAGTTGTGCAGATATTCCAACTGGCCAGATACTTGTATCATCTGTTACTCGAACAGTCAAGCTGGGTTCTTTCAATGAATGATCACTTGTTAAGGGCGAATAATGATGCTGAGACTGGTTTTTGCTATCAGCTTCTGATTGTTCGTCTGCTTCTTTTGGTATATGATCTTTTAGTTGCTTAGCTAAACCGGGTGGGATGAATGAATTGATCAAGGTTCTGTCTATAGGGACTAAATGAATTTTAACACTTCCAGGGTGTTGACCAACAAGCCATACACGTAGAGGTTTTAGACGTTGATTTATATCAATGGACTGCATATTATGATATGGATTCCTAAGTGGTATATCACCAACTGTTAATAAACGGGCAGAGGATTGAAAGTTAAGTATTTCTGGCATGGATGATATATTGCCATCACCGGAGTTTAATGATCTTTTATTTGATGATTGCTTGTGTGTATATTCTAATCGTAGCCTATGAGCAGTGAATTCAGTCACGTCCACATACTGATTTATTTTCCCACCAAGGACATCTTTATCGTGTAGTACAGAACTAGCTAAAATAAACCTGAATAAAAATTAGATGACGGAAAACATTAAATAGGCATGCAAACAGTTTCATGGTAGAATACATTAAATACTGGATAGTGATTGTCTTCAAAGCAAACCGTTACCTTAATGATATGAGGATAATAGATTATCAGGCTTGTCATTAACTCAAACAGCAGCCTTGAAAACCAACAGATTGGTGTTCATTATGAACTCAACTTTATGATGTTTTTTAGAGACGTGAAACTAAGAGATCAGCTGAAAGTGCTACTTAACTACATCGTTTATCAGTTAATGTTTCTGTTCCAAACAAATATTTCATATTACTAGAAGTTTACTACATTTATGACTGCTGAGTTCGCTCAAATTCTAGAAGACTGATCAATCAAATGATTGGTCCAAAAAAGGTTAGAAATCTTACAATTCCTGTTCCATTCTTATAAATACGGCTTTTACCTCCCAAAAAGTATACAGTGCGTCTAATGTTCCTCATATACATCGTAAGTCTATCAGATTTCAATGAAATAAAAGCAATAGGTGCAGTGCAGAAATCCTTTTTAACAATTTTATTCACTAAGTTGTACGATCGCATTTTCATACAATCTTTTTTGATAAGAATGGATGATTTGTTTTATGTGTTAAAGCAGTTTTGAAGCATGGTAACAAGCGAATTAATAAGCATAAAATGAAGATATCGTATCATATGGATAATAAATTATATCCGAGACGTTATTCCATAAATGATACCATTTCACAGTGTGACATTTCTAATAAAAAACTAAAATGGAGTCACAATTCACTATTTGTAAAAACTGGTGATAAATTGAATATTTTGTGAAAATACATTTAATCGTTAATACGTAGAATGCATTCAGTCATTACGTCTCCGATAATATGAAGTGTGCAAAACATTTCATCACTTATCGCCAACATAGTTGCAACAATAAATTTCCTTTACTACATTTGAAATTCTTGTCAGTTCTCCAACTGTTTTTGGAAATAACATCATGTTTTCTACGGCAATCATCATGATCTCAAAGATAAACTGCGGTAACCTCACATTCAGTGATGAGGTAAGCTGTAGGCTGCATTGTTACGGAATAGCTGATTTATAACGAGTACTGGAAGTTCAAAAGGCGATTTTCAAGATGAGAAAATGCAGTTATCTTCCCAGTAATACATTTGACAAGTTATTTTTGGCAACCCTTGAAGATGAATGAAATTTTCGATGATATTGATTATTTGGAGAATATGTCGACACTTCTCGCAAAGATAACTTAAATTCCCTATATTCAGTGCAAGCTGTCCCTTGAAAATGTCTTGTGTGTAGTAACACATCCAAAACAAAAACAAATTTCTCACATGTCAATTTCATTACCACTAATCCATTCTATGCACAACAGAAATGTAATGGTGTTATGGACCACTTAGTACTAACCCCCAAGCATATATACACCAAACACTTTTTAAAACTTCTTCCAGGGTACAACTTTTTTCTACCTTCAATATAGTGATAACAGCAAACAAAAATTTTACATAAATTATAAGCCAGCTGTGAACTCACTTTTAACTATAGAAACGTTCATTTCTGTGTTTTTAACTCTCTCTCTTTCACTTGTAACTCTCCCTTTTTCTCCCCCTCCTCCTCGCCTATCACATACACACAAATACAAACATCCACTACGAACTCAGAAAAACTGTCAAGACAAGAGGAAATTATTCATAATATAATCGATTAAACAGGAGTAGACAATGGTTATATAAATATGTACATATACGCTTCTATAGAGAGCGGTCGCATGATGAGCCTATGAGTGTACGTTTGACAAGTGAAAACAAGTTTTATCTACGCCATTACACTCAAAAGCATATTGAAGTTTTGGTTAATGTTTGAAACACAAATATGTCTATGAATTTAGTAGGAAATTAGGTATTCTACAAACAGTTAGTGAGTGGGTGCACTGTTGTTCCTACTCAGTGTTATGTTCATTAGAGCAATAGATCGATGAATCGATAGATGCATGAACAGAATAGATAGCAAGCGAGTATAAATTCACGTACATACACTTCTATTGATGTAAATATGCATAGATTCTTAGGTAGACTTGTAAGGAAAGATGGAATGACAAAAAGTGCGTGAGTAAGTGAATGAAATTCGAAAGGTTGAACAGAAATTCTTATTCAAAATGAAATCAATTACAATATTGAAAACAGTTATTTTCACTGTTATTGAATAATAGAATAATTTTTATTACATTGAAGTCATGAAATAAATTGAGAAAAATAATTATTTTATCAGCTCATAAAGGATGAATGATGTGATGAATGCACAAAGCTTCCCATAGGAATATTATCATCTTAATGATAATTATGACAGTGTTAACTTGCAAACATAAAACTTCGTCAGTTAGTATTAAATTTTGGTGGGAATTTTAAGGAATTAAACGTGACATTTCATTTTAATCTAAGTATGAATTTTATTAACCATTTTAGAAGGTATTCAAACTGCTAAACAGAATTTGAAGCAACTGGTTCCTCTGATAAATTTAAACAGCGTAATGAGAAGACGAAGATTATAAATGGTTCGACAAGTTTATGTGTGATCAGATTGTTCGAAATTTATAGCGCCAATACATTACATGTTTCAGATAATCTTCGTCTTCTGATTACGCTGTTTGCCTAGTTCAGACAGTCTTGTTAAGGGTAATTCGATTATTAAATCGGTTGAAATAAAGGCAGACGTGAAATGTTTAGGCTATAGACAATAGTTACCTTGCTATTCATATCCATGGAATTTATCATTGGTAATATCAGTTGTACACTTTCCCGAGCTCAGCTCAAAAATTCCATTTCGGTGACATTTAAAGAAGAGCTAACCAAAAAGTCAGCAAGAATAATTAACGCTTCTCGTTCTAAAAAAGCTTAGTGTCACTTTTTATATGCTGTAAAAGCACCTGTTAAGATAGTAGCTGATCACTGGGAAACGATAAAAAAGAGATAAAAGGGTCCCAAAGCCAATTCTGAATGAATGAATAAACATGAACTCATTCCTACAGGTTTCCAGTACAATGAGTATCAGAAGTAGCTTAATCTTAAGCTGATAAAGAACTTACACAATGGTCATAGGTAGTGGTGAGAATAGGAACCTAAAGATATGTGGAAGATAAGTAGTACTGACAAGTAACCATAGACAGTTGGTCACATCTGTAAGAAAAACAGCTACGTAAACTTAGTTGGTAAGTCAAACTACATGCGAGAAAGATGCACAAGTGGTTTATGAAAAAAGGATATAGCTGGAAGGATTGAAAGAACACTTGAAGCAGCACGTCAACTGACGTCCAGCTCCTTTTAGTCGCTGAATATTCAGTCGCAGTCTGAACGATGCATCAATGCCGGTCTTACAAATTTGACAGAAGTTGCAAAGGTTGAAAGCATACGGAAAAAAGGTCAACAGACATTGATATAGCAGCAACAAAGGTATTTAAGGATATTCACCCTGGATCATTGCACAATGTAGCTGTGTTATTCATCAAGGCATAGAAATTAGATATAAACTAGTTGAAAAGGTTGATAGTTTCAGCAGTACACAACATTTTCAAAATATAACGTAAAATCTCAATCTAGTAGTGATAAGTTAGTGAGTAACAGATTATGAATGTTGAAGTATCAATAGGTGATAATTGTTCAACATAACTACGACAAAAGATGAGGCACAGAATAACTACACAACAAATTTTCAGAAGTTTAAGCTAGTTGTCACCTAAGTGATGGTTTGTATAATAAGGAATAACAGGAAAGGAAGATGAATTATTAGGTCAAGTGGATAGATGTTGCCAATACATAAGAACAATCAGGGACAGAAAAGACGGAAAAAAACAGTTAAAATTGTAGTACTAATATGTACTATTATACTATACAGATGGATAAGGCAAACAAGGATGCTGTACATATTTCTTTCGAAGGCAGGCTTGACTAGTTAAGTTGAATTTCAGTGACTTCTGATGCATGTAAAAGACTAACTATCAAAGCATGATTAAAATGAGAAAGATTGTCATAAATTTCTTTCAAGACTGGGTTCCTGGTTGTATCTAGCTGAATCAACAAGCTACTGAGATGATAAAGGTCGATAGTTCGTAGTCAGTATTTAAATTCAGAGTTCATTTGGTTGGCTGGTGGTAACGTACTTTAATGGTAATTCTGTGGGATTTGGAGGCCGGTTATTCGTCAAATATACTTAGTAACAAAGTGATTATCTGTATCTGGTATCTTTATCCTCTAGTAACAGGTACCTAGTCCATCTTCTAGCATCGCACATCGAGGTAGTTAGTGGCTCGTCATGGCATCTTTAGTACATATCCAAGCCATCTTAGACAATCGAGGTTTATAAGCTCATCAGTCGAATTACCTGTCTCGTATAGAAACCTTCGCCTGACCTTAACATTGCTCACATGGATGTTTTACTACTAATAGGCACATATCACTTCTAGTCTAGCCTTACATAGAACATCCACCTCTTCCAATGAATTCAAAATAACTTTAGTGACTGTGGTACTGAAAGAAAATGGTTTAATCTGTTGAACTAAACCTGGTTAGTCCCTAAATGATTATTACTTTCGGGAAGTGACATTAGCAAATATGAAGTCTGCATTTATATCAATTGGTTTTGAGAATCAAAGAAAATTATGTGGTGTGTTTTCACTTAGATTCCTGACTACTTTGTCTGGTTTTATTTAAAACTGGATACATAGAACTCACTCACCGGTAACAAAATGGAAAACTAAACACAAACTACTAGATCGTTACCTAACAGTCTGTCTTATATGAAAAAGTAAAATAAATTTTTATGCATTTCGAACTAACACTAGAAAAGAGATCTTTGTAAGCAAACTTGTATTGAAATTTACAAAAGAACTGTATTATTATTGTCTTAGAATAGAATTCCGTGTAGAAATAACTTTTCCGATATTCCCAGAAATTCACTCCCCTTAAAATAAATATGAAAATTCGTAGTTCGCCTTTTAACCAGTTCTGTTCAATTATTTTGCCACTTCTGTTATAGTTGCGGCTTTCAAATCCACCGAACTGTAAAAGTAATCAGTGGTCATTTCTTTTTATTTGTTAGCAACTTTGAAACCGCTTGTTGTCTAAAGAATCACTTAACCGGATCTAATTTTGAACCAGTTCTTTTTTTAAAGCAATTTTAATACCAATTATAAGACTGAAATTTGTTTTTAGTTCTTAGGAAATCAGCAAGTTAATTAATTACTTCGGGTTCACTTCAAATCCAAGAGAATATTTATTGTAATAACACTCCTTATAAGAATATAATTAAAACACTATAAGCGTCTAAACAAAAGTTGCCGTAATTCTACTGTGCATGTTCCTCATCAATACAGGAAAGAATAATATACCTAAGAGGAAACGGGGAAAAAAATACTAAGAAAAGGAACTTGAGTATAAATATAGTTAATAAAAATGGATTGAATATGTTACTGATCTCTAACAGTGTAACCAATTGCTTCTAAGCACTGAATTTTAAAATGTGATGCATGCAGACCAAGTGTCCTAGGCTTCCTTATCGATATTCAACAAACACTCATCCAATGCATAAATCGGTTTCCTGTCCCGTTCAATTCACTGCACTTTGAATCATATTGATGTAAGTTCAATAAGGATTGAAAATTAAGGTAGACGGTGGTCTTGCACACGTTTAGTTATTGACAGTCAAAAGTTCCATTATATTTCTCACTTTGTAATCCTACCATGCGGAATCAGTATTTTGACAGTTAGTTAGCAAAACTCTCAACTTCTTTAAATCGTCAGCTATCAAAAGAGTGTCGACATTTTTGTGAAGATATTATCCAGATCACCTTTAAAAATAAACTCCTTGACAATAACTTTAAAAGTCTGATAAAAAATTCAAAGATTAATACCTCCAAGATGTTCTAAGACCAGATTTTAGGCGACTTTTAAATGATTACCATAAACTAAAATATACCAGTATATAACCTAATTTCCCTGCAGTAAATACTTCTAAATACTTAGGATAAGATTATACTGCAGAATAAAACATAATTGAATTCAAATTCCATGGTTGGCTTTTGTAGATAGTGAAAGGTCTATTCTCAGAGTTTCAAACAGCGGTTGTCTTCTGTAGTCACTTGGAAAAGTCATACGAAATCGATTCGACGTCAGAATTTTAAAAACTACACAGAACCACGATTGGTCTAAGAATTTTCATAAAAACTGATGACCCTCAACTAAGAATTTTGGGGAGGAACACTTGCAGTGACTACCAAAATACTTGTCACTACAGATGATTCATCATGTGTTCATATCTCTCATGCTTTCATAGAATTAGAATTCTCTGAAATCTTCCAGATCAGGTGGATGCAGATGTCAAATTACTGGCCGAAACAGACAACTGCTGAAGTTCACAAACTGTTTTAGAAGTTATCTAACGAACAAGCCCACTCTATACTCATTTTCTCAGAAAAACCTTCACATAACTTCTTCACAGAGAAGAGAGTTGAATCGTCTGATTTTGAAACGCAGGCTAGGATGTGCCATTATTAAAAGATATTAGGCAAGAAAGTTTGCCATTCTTAAAAATCTTTGCGAACCTAATCACATTTCACTATTTTGCCAGTTTACATGCTTACGGCGAAACAAATAAGAAGCAGTAATTGATCCATGCAGTTGAAGGTGGAAGAAAAGGAACCTAAATGACTTCTATGATACCTTCAGTGCGAAAATTTAGTTTCTCTAGCAGGCTGACGACTCTGTTCTATTATGCAAATAAAATCCCAGCACTAATATTTTAACAGGCAACATAGTTTTATCTGGAAGCATTCAGGGGTGTATGCTGATGTTTTTGGATATGACAGCATCAGGAGACTCAAAAACACCTCTATGTGTACAGAATAATTTGTTCTGATCCCAAACCTACCTTGTTTAAATTCATTTTCTTAACAAAACTAGGATCAAATATACCATCCTTCTTTCTCATCTTTACCAATCCGAATCCACTACTTTCAAAATCTATTTATCTTCCCATTCTTAAGTTTCGTACAAATTCACATAGTAATTAAACGTGTAACCAGATTTTGAGGTTGAACTCATCACAGTCTGTCACCAGTTGGAGAAACACTCGAAAATTGAGAGCTTTGGATGGCTACTTCGTACTTGTGTGGGACTCAGCTGTGTGCATTTACAACCGTCAGGTCTTGTTGCAAGCAGGTTATCATTCAGATACTTAATCAGAATCCAATGATTCACATTTTTCTACTTTTGTCAACTCACGATACAGTGCGACCATCACTCATCGCCACTTGTGAGTTTTTGTTCTCATATTGAACTTGGTTGACCCCTTCCATCCATTTTAGATCCCATTTTCACTGGCTTGACAAATAAATATGTGATCAGATTGTTCAAAACACACTACCTAGATGCACCATATTGTTCATGTAAGCTTCATGCATCTATTATACAAATTTTTAATAGGGATCAGCTTTATACAGATATATTTATCATGAAGTTAATGTACTAAGGAAAACTAATTTCACATACAAAGTCAATCAGTATAATTTTCCACTTGGGCATGATGCTGCTAATTTTCAAGAGGATATTCGTTAACATTCTGTCAATCAATCACGGTCTGATGAGAGTTTACAGCCCACAATAAAATACATGTATATAACATATAATATAAATGCTGTTTGTTTCCACTCACTAAATGTAGTTAAACAAAATGATTGCAGACTATCATTCTCTGTTTTTCTATTTTAGCTTTACTTTTATTCGTTTTGAAAAATAATTTATACCTTCAAACTTTTATATCTACAGCACTCATTATTATAAATAATGAAACAACGTAATAAATTTCCTTATTTCGGTCAAAAACATCCATAACTGAAAATGCTGTTACTGCTAATGACTTACTCAAATGGTGGGAAGGGATCACATTGGAATTAAATATGCTGTAAATGTAATTGTATCAAACTTTTACTTATACTTTGTCCTGATAAGTGTTGTGTTGTGATGGTATTACCCTTTTTATGTCCGTTAGTAAGTTGATGGTGAAGTCATAGGGATGTCACAATAAAAGTATACTTATAAAATTGTTGATGAATAGGGCATAATCTTTTGCTTTAGATTAAATGTCAATCGCGATGGGATCATTTTAAAACTTTACTAATATTTTACTTACCGCGCCAATATGCGAACTCGGAAGTACTGGAAAAACTGAAGAGATTCGGTTGTATTGATATGGTTTATCCACAGGGATTTACGGAAATTCGAACTGTAACAATAAAATTGAAAATAATAGTCCATATCTGAACATTGTATGGAAATATTTCTCAATTAGACGCTCAAATAAAAAATTAGGTTTACTTCTATCTATACATTTAGCATAATGAATCTACCGAAGCATTAATTGTTACTACCTATTCTGAGTTACATCGCACTGAATAAAACGATTTGACGCAATCAAGTGACCGAAACTGAAACCCAATCCAAGAAAACCAAATGAAGTATGAGTAAACAAATAAGTACATTTTCTGACATTTTAGAAAATAAACACCCACAAGAGTTGGATTCTAATAACAATCAATTCAACTTTAGATGAAGTCGTTTTCAAACCAACCTCCATCATATTTTCCTTACATGCTCACTAATCATAACAATTTAGAGATACCGGTAACCACCAATAAGACCCAATTACTTGCACAAATCAATCAGTAAAATCATTTGATTAGATTCAGCCTACTAGGCGAAGCTCATCACAAAAGAATAATTTACGACTATCGTTTTATAGCGTAACATCTCAGTGAAATGTTCACTGCAATGATTAGTGGCCAGCAGTAAAATCACTCTGTTGAACATTAAATTCTCTAGTATACTATTGTTTATATTGCTGAGGAAATCTCTTTTGAGATAGTGCGAATCAGATAAGGTTATGATCGATTTAGTCTTTATCAAAATTTACTATTTTTTATGTGTGTAATCTGTCCGGAAAAAATAACCGAATGGTGTGAATTTCTTGCAAGATTCCCAAAATGGGACGATATTCACTGGTGCTGGTTGTGTAGATGTTGAATAGAAATGCGTTTGGCAATACTGAGGTGCTGGCAATTGATAATTAAGATAAGCGAATTCAAAAGGTAAAATTTGGCTTACGTTGGAAAATGCTAACCAAAAATCGTTATCCACAATGACTTCTCAAAAACCTTTGGAGACGGCTACCTGGAAACAGTGATTACAACTCATACAACGCAAGTTTGCAAAGAAGCTGAAACAAACCAACTGTTTTATTAATGACAGACGTATAAACCCCAATGTCTATACAAGTGTGTTGACTTTTGAATATTACCAAATGGAGTCATATAGCTGTTATTTGCCTTTAACTTCAGTACTAAACATCAATCAATATCTGTTAATGCGTTCATCTGCAAGATGAGAAATTCAGAGAAAACTGACATACAGTTGTATAAACAACAGTGATTTTTTGCAAAAAATCAACTAAGATTAGTGTTTTTTTATTTCCTATACAAACTTTTGAGAAAATAAGAAAAACATACTAGCAAACATTATGTGAAGCATAAACTAATCACGTTTTTCTTAAAATGACCGCTATTTATTTATCATAATGTTTGGGAACTTTGAGAGGTGTCAAATACTTAGCGTGAGTTGACATTATTCCCGGAGAAGTGAAGCTACCTTTCGACGCTTAAATCAATTCAATTCAATCAGTGAAATGGGAAAATCAGCATGTGTTTTCTAACTTGAGATATTTTTCAGAGGTAGACCTCTGAATCTCAATTCTAGTTAATTTTTCAGCTATGTACTGATGATTATATCGAATTCTATTGGTTTCAAGTTCCTCAATATTTTCATATGAATCGATTCATATATATTTAGAGAAAGTATATTTTCTCAATCAAATTCATGAAATCTGATATAAATCTAGAGTATAAGTGAAGTTTTTCCGTTCACATTCTGTTCACTGTCCACTCGTTTTAAACTTATCACAATTATGAAACACTTAATGACAATCGACACAAAGACGAAGTTTTGGATAGTCGTAAAGGGGAGCTATCGACTTTTATAACTTTAAAGAACCTTTTAAGTGAGCTTTTTGATGGCAGATTCTGAAACAGTTGCTTTATTTTTCTCTTTATAAGTGTTTTGAGAGAATAACCTTTTTTCAGTTTTATTGGAGCTTTGAGAAAATGAAGTGAATTGATCAAAGCTTTTATCAGTAGTAGACATCTTATGAAAAATCAATAATGGAAGATAGTCTTGGAGAGCTGTTTCATCTTATCTCCAAATTCTGCTGAATTGCACACTGCTAACCCCTTAAAGTTTTCAAAGTCAGACTCTCTATTTCTTGTGCTACTGAAGTTACTGAAACGTTTTTTCGATTAATAACGAAATCTTTGATTTTATACCCAGATAGGAGTTTAAAACGTCTAGGTTGTATCTAATACTAATGCTAATAAGTGATTTCTGACGATTTTGATCAAGCATTTACCAAATTCTCCTTGTTTATTCATTTTGAATAAGTAAAAACGTTAATTAACTTTCGTGATGGTGAAAGTATTTTAAACCAAGAAATTTAGTAAGTTTATTGTTGTCAGATTTTTTCAGAGATAAAAGCACTTTTAAATTATTATTCATGAAATTAGAGTGACCATGGGATCAAGCAGTAACTCTGCCTGCCTAGTACACTGACTTCATTTATCAAAAACATTTTGGAATATTTTAGGTCACTTGATGTATTTTACTGCACCTACTAGTCACTTGTAGCACAAATCAAAAGTAGGAATACTTACGTTCAAATCGGAAGCTGATGAATTAGTGTTTTTGATTACACTATAGAACTCAGTAATCCTAGGCGGAAAAATACAAGGTTTTCATAGTATATATTATTTCAGGTAAGTGTTTTGCTTGAAAACTATAATGTAGAGAATATATTTCCGATAACATCCATATGGTATTGAAAATAGTTAAAATCACATATGCTTATTTAGTCTCTTCCGCGTACGATTTAGTCAAAAAGTTTATGATTTATGTTACTTCTTCCTTTTTTAAGGACACTGAAGAGTTTCTCGCTTAGATGAGTTAGTAACAAAAATCACTAGTAGAGCATGTAGCCCGAATCACTTAGTGTAAGCTGGTAATTTAATCATCCTCATAGACAAAAAGCTTGGAGCATAATTTCGGTAATTTAGATTTCTATAGGGAACTGCCAAATCAAAATCGATGTAGATGTAATCAAATAGATCATAAGGTATGAAGAAATGGGCATTATTATTATTCCCTTGGGTTCCTAGTGGAACATAGGGCTTCGGTAGCACGTCACCATCCCACTCTGTTCTCTGTAGTCTTTTGAACCTAGATCCACGATTGCCCATGAGCTTTCATTTCTTCCTCACATGATCTCCCCCATGTCACCCTCCGCTCCGACGCACAACTCGTCGTTTATCCTTCGGATTCCAGTCGATGGCCTGACCTGGCGCGTGATGTCCTCAGTTGGCCTTCTCAGTGTATTCACAATCGATCACCACTTTCTTCTGCATATTTGTAAGGTGATAGGTTCTTAATTGGTTCGTTGATAGCCAGCCACAGTTCCTTGCTGCTTATTCTTTCTGGCTATCTGAAAATCAGTTTCGAGCAAACGTAACAGGTGGTGGTCGATTCAAGAGTTTTCTGAAGTGATCGGTTCATTGTTTTCTTTGTTTCTCCTCTTTGTTAACTAGCTCTCCTTCACTATTTTTCAATGGTTTCGTCTGAGTTGATCTCTTCCCCCCGAGATAGTAACCTGGTTATTTGATATAGTGTCTACAGGGCTCCTACTAGCAGCCTGTTCTTCTTCACTTGCCAATGTGTCGTAGAAGTGTCTTTTGTCTTTCCGCGCACTCTTCTTCACTTCTTTGTCCAGAGTAGTATTTTATAAGTTGTACTCAATTCATCTTTTCAATGTGCATCCGTGCACTTCACTGGTTCATCTTCTGCTTCACCATCACCATCTAACAGCTTTCATGTGTCCGTCGAGATCCATTGCTTATCTTGCTTCTTCTTCCTTCCGAATACGATTGCGCAGCTTTCTTCGCACATAGCTTTCAAGGAGTTCCAGTTTTCTTCCAAGCCCGATCCTTCAGGGATGTTGCTCGATATCTCCCATTTTGTTCTGATGGCTGGCTGACATGAAGATGTTCTTTATGGTTTCGTCCTTCATTAAGTTTCTATTCTGGGTGTCCAACCTCAGCTGTGGTCCATCATCAACTTCCTTAAATTGAAAGCTTCCAACTCAATTTTGAAGACAGGTTCCTTGCGCTAGATAGTGAACGATGTGAACCACCTACATCTGCTCCCCTTCTTCATCTGATATGATCTGACCTAATGTTGTGTGCAGTAGACTGCGTCTACACTTTCTTCACATTCAGATGAAGTCGATCTGATTAGAAGTAGTGTAGTGTGTCTTGGTGTCTGGTGAAATGAAATCCGTTTCGCTGCCTTGTCAATATCCTTGTGTTTGCACACAGTGCCTCCAATCACCAAATCGTTTAGTGAACAGAATTCTGCAAACAGTTCTCTTTTCTCATTCATCACGACCTAGTACTTCTCCACACATGATGAGTTCTGTTTCTGTGCTGTCCGCTCCGAGTTTGGCACTCATGTCACCCCACCGATTAGAATGTTGATGTCGCCAACTTCTTCAGTGGGGTCTTGTCGATTAGTGATTGTAGTTATCTGTAGAACTGTTCCTTCTTCTCTTGATGTGCATTATTTGTGGTCACATAGCGTGGGATTGAATGATTGTGAGTTTCGTTCCTTCTTAGTTGAATCTCACTGTGATGATCCTGATCCTGCAGGGGGAGATTGGTTCCTACTACGTGAGACCGGTAGTTATTCTTTGGGACATCATAAAAGCCATTCCAAAACTCGGTATGCTCGTGGTTGTCATCTGGGTGACAGTATCGGAGTAGATTATTGACTCTCCAGTTAAAAGTTTGGAGAGTCGACTTCTACTCCATTTGCGTTCGCAGATTCCGAGGAATGGGCATAGACGGCGATTATTTGGTTAGTGTCTTGTTTCAAAGATACTGATAACCGGCACCTTGTTATTAGAGAGTGGATTTCCGCTTTATATGAAACATTTGTTTACAACAGTTTATCCTAAACCTTTTTTTATCTTCAAGGAAAGTGAAAGTGTGAAAAGTCATGGGATGGGATTAACACTCATGTTTTTCTAAACAAACTCTGTTTATTGGTGACTGGCTTTTACCTTTGTTTACTAGCAGGTTATATAAGGAGTAGTAGCTTTAAAACATGTATAATCGAAAATATTTATGATTTGGAATAGGACAACTTTTACGGATACTGATCATGTCTAACAATAGTTACACTACTGAGATAAAGTCTATTTTACGTAAGATATTGGCAGCTCCAAAAGATGACACCTATCTGTATTATTTCATCATAATGTATTCCATATAAAATAGTGGAAATGCACCACCGACTAGTGTAGCCCAACAAAGAAACGTCTACTTATTATTCGGAAGTTTTCCATGGTTCTCAAGTATACTTTTGAACCCAGATTTTAAACATAAGTAGAATGAATCAACTTTCCACACGCTAAACAATTGTTCTACAAAACTACAATCACTGTTTCAAGTAGTCATATTACAGTCAAGAGTGCGGTCTACTTTAGTAAGTAAATGATGTCCTCAGAAACGTCTTCTTTCAACTAATAATTCATAAGATTAAGTGGAAGTAATGAGTTTATTCCCATAGCGTTTTAATAACTCAGTATAGACTTGCATTGGCATCTAACTTGATATTTGAATAGGCTCTAAATTTAATACACCTCAAACGAACAAAATCAACTGATTTTCTATTTGTATTTATGGAAGTGATTCATGATGAACGACATTCAGATAAACTCTTCAGTCAATTTCATTTCCCTGGCTCCGGCTAGTCGACAGAAATCTGGTCGTGTTACCTTTCTTTCAGTACGTTCGCCAGGTTCTTTAGCTGAAATTTTGAACAGTGATTCCATTATTTTGCTTTCTGTAGAGTGTGGTGCAGAATAACTGTCTTCATCAGTACTTTATAGCAAATCAGATGCTTAGCTTTTCGAGTCGCTAAGTGGTCGTTGAACCGAAGTGGTTAGTAGAAAGAAAGAGAATATGATGAGTTCTACTCATTAATAGCTTGAAGCTGTAAAGGTGGCTTTCTTAAGAAATGAAATTCATGTTGAACAAAAATGGAGGTAAAAGAATCTATGTCACGCGAAAAATAAACTTACTGTGAGGCAATAATTTCTGTGGCCAGACGCTTTAGTGTAATAACCTTTGAAAGTTCTTGATTAGCGGAATCATAATTGCTGTTTGGACTAGATTCAACAATCAATTTGAGTGCAGGTGCTTTTGGAAACCAAACTAAGAGTGTAGCAGTAGCACTACGACCATCCAATTTAGCTACTAATGGTAATCCAGGTGAACCGTCAAGTTCTGCACCAGAGAATCCAAGTTTGGAGCACATATCCTGAGCAAAATGTATGACAGCATCATCACCAGTATGACATGTTGCTTTTGATGTTATGTCAACTAGCCTCAAGTCATGTGTTAAACCATATACCCATATTGGATAAGTTGTAGGCTGTCCAGTTAGAACTGCAAGATTGACTAGCGCTGAAGTCTTGTGTAAATGAAGTGAAAAATTAAAAGCAAATCAGTAAATACATTGATATGTTTGTTGGCAATGAATTGCTAAGGAAATATCTTTCAGTCAGTGATTTGTATCGTTATTTGCTATAACAAATGTAAAATGTAATGCCTGTAAGTTGTGTGAACTACTGAAAATTCAAACAAACGAGATCCTGTTTCTCAGGACTACCGTTTTGAATTTTATCAGCTGTTATTTCATCTTCGATCATCACTTGTGCATTAACAAGGTACCTAAAATATTTGCCAGTTCAACTGAGGATTCGCAAAGCCTGAGTGATATATTTCAGATTTATTTCATCATAAACTGATATCAGCCAAATAAACATTTTAAACTAAGAAATACGCAACAGTTGTTCAGTTCCTGTTTGAGTCTTCATGAATGAGTAATATGAACCACACATTCAACACTAGCTATGATCTTGTAACAAGAAAAAGCGAGTTCATCAAATAACAAGCTTCCATGTAACAGGAAGTACTCGTTAGACTTCTAAATCACAGTGTCCATAGTCTTATAAGTACTACGTCAGACTGTAATAAACATAGTGACTCATTTCTAGGATACTTCCTGATATCAACAAAGTTCATAGAAGTTGAAGACAACTTTAAAAATCAATTTAAATGAATTCCAAATGTATTCTATCTTTAAAATGTTGATTTTCTATTACCTAGCCTCATAAATTTTTAAAGAATAAACGGAATTCAAAATACTCCAAATCAAAAACGTACTTCTTGTAATTTTAGTAGTGTGTACATATTTGTTTATATGTTTAAGTGTTTTACATGTTTATTTCTGGAATAGCTGGAATTTTCAAGTAACTTTGTTACGTCATCAAATTTGGACGCAAAGAATGTACATTCTGTTTTCGGTAAGTAGGATTTTTTAGTAGAAAGTTAAACATACTTAGATGCATAGAATGCCTTAAGTTTATTGGATTGAGCCACATTCATTTCAACTACCTTCTGTTAAATAAACATTTTTGATCGAAACGCAATTTGTAACAGGGTATTTCAAAATCGAAAAGTCAGAATTTTTACAAGACAAGAAACAGATAGTGTCTAATTAACTTGGTAGCAAATTCTACAAATTTGAACCTCAGAGACTACAGAGGCGTAACTCAGATCCACATTATCAGTTTTTCAACAACTTACTTTGGGTTCAGAACTCTCTGCACCTACTTCATCCTGCACAGCAGAGTAGTATCATCAACACCTACACGATAAGTGTGACTCCTAGCCCACTTCACAAACATATATCACACTATGTAACCATTCTGTACATCAGAATGAATTCGTTGGTTATATCAAAGTATCTACAAAGGACTTGGTATACCAAAAGGAGATTATCCATTCATCTCAGGCCGAGTAACAACAGCAAATAATGAATCCATATATCAATATTCTCTAATGGCTTAGGGTTACAAATGTAATTGCACTACGAACCAATTCCTACTAGGGTTTCGAGGAATTTGAGTGTTTCTTCTTCGGTGCTTCATTTTTCATCTACAAGTTATTTCAATGATCATCGGCTTTCACGGTTTTAGTTGTATTTTTCAGTCTTTGACTGGAGTAAATTTATAAGTCACTGCAAGTATATATGCTCCTGCGCATATGCTTCGATATTGCCTATCGTTTCAGTTTGGCGGAATAGCTCGTCTTCAATCCTACTGCTAGCCATTTTCCGTAATCGCCACCAAAGTGGAAATTCTGGAAATATCGAGGCATCCGCTCAAGAACCTATATGCTAATGGAGACCAGTCGATTGGATTGGGTTAACGACAGAAAGTTACAAGTATCAAAGCTATACCCGTTGCACAAGGAGTGACCGCTTTAACTCAGGGGTATATTTGATTACTATCTGGTGTTTGGAGAGGTCGGTTGTGGGTTCGAGTCGTAGTTGGAGCAGCATCACTCACTGATTTGCAGGTATATCCAGCTTACGAGTCCCAAATAGAAAGGAAAGCGCGTCGTGAATTCCACTGCTAGCCACCATCGACCATTAAAATCAGCAGTCTTTTTACCACTGGAACTGATAAACTTGCATATAAACGAAGCAGTAAAGCTCAAAGATTGTGACAGGACATAATTTCATTTGTCCTAATTCATTAGACGGGTCACACAGGGAAGCAGCAATATTTACTGTATTACGTTTCGCACACAACTTATTTTACATAGTCGTAATAAGAAAACTCCATAACTTTGAAATACGGTTTGTATACTTCTAATTTTCTAGTTTACCTTTGAAATATAATCCAGTAGATATCACTGATTCACTGCGCAATACATCCAATAAATCAAGTAGAATAGATTTGCTTATGAGTGATAAGACCACAGAAAAATGTTTTGGAAAAACTTTCTAATTTTGCACTTACTTGAATACGCAAGACGTTTTCGTATGTTTGTGTTTCCCATTATGTATGTTGAAGTGTTAGAATTAATCGGTATCACTGTTAAAATCCTCACAAGATAACTAGCTTTATTATTATAATCACAGATTTTAAAACACTTTCATTCTCAAATTGAATGCACACTAATTTAGTCATACAATACTTCAATCAGTCAGTCACCAACAAAGTGAGACCTAGCATCATTGAGTAACTGTCTAAGTTGTCACACTACATATCAATGCATTAGGAAAGATGACATGTAGATGGAGGATATAGAGGTAAGGAAGAAAACTGTCTACGGTGATAGAATTCATCCAGAGAGAATAAGATGAAATGAAATAAGAGTGAAATTCAGTAAATGATAACCGCGATGATGATTATATTTGTATATACCAGAGCCTCTGGTATCAGTTATGAGAAATATCACATAGAGTCTCCAGCTACCTATTTCAGTTGTTATGTGGACTCCAGCCCAGAAGTTTAAACTACCTTACATGGTACAGATCAGCAGTCATATACTTGAAACACTGATGACGAGTTTTAGTTTGGCCACTCCTAATCTTTCCTTAGCCTAAATTTACTCCGGTTTACATTTCAAAACAGAGCAGATGGTGACTCGGCCTATGTAAAATAAATTTCAGACATCTCATTCAGTGAAAGTTAAGCAACCTAGTCAATTGACTTCCCTCTTCTACCCGGAATCCAAATGCCTAACTTTCATACAACAAATGTTGTGGCACCACGCTAAACGGTGTTTGTTACGAAGGCAACGATGTTTTGACACACAATGCCTTTTGTTATCCTCGATGAAATCCACCAAAAATGAGGTAATTGAACGTCAGATCAAGCGCACAAGATATATGGCTTAAAATAAATGAGACTTAGGGTGAGTAACAACACTTAGAGAAGTTTGTAAGCTTGACAAACTGATTCGAAAGAGGGTGAAACTAGAATTCGGATCCTATTGATGACCATTTCGCTCTTTCAAAAGACTGAGGCACTCGCAGTGTAGAATAAACTAATCGAAAACAGGGAATCATAGAAATTTTAGGATAACTACATTAGAAGGAGTGTTTATCGCAACTTTATAGCACAATTATCAAAGCAAACATGGTTGCAGCGACACGTGCGAATTTTTACTCTCAAACTGATGCGGTTTACAGACGTAATTACATCCATATGATAATTCCTTAGGAAAAGTCATAGACTCCGGGTATTTTGAAGACCAGTGTCCAATGCCATTCATATCACTTATATTTACAAGTAGTTTGACTACTCTGTTGACCGTTATTTTAAGAACATCCCGAACGATGTACTTTAGTGAACTGCTTTGTGATTAAAATAATGGCTCAATAGTTCACATAAACCTGAAAACGTACAAAACATCAAGAAACTGATCAAGTTCAACTCTAAATTAGCGACTACTACAGTGGAATGGAGTAAAAAAAATATTGGATTTAATCAATTATTTCCCACCCGTTACAATAAGTGTGGTAATGACAGATAAGAAAGTAGACACATTATAACTATCTAAGGGTTTGTTATAATGGCATAGATAGATTTGTAAACATAAATCGATAGACGGAATAACAGATGCAGTACTATCATGATGACATTATGCTGCCCCTCTGAGCATAAATGTGAGTTAGATGAAATAATCATTATATATGTATATATATATATATATATATATATATATATATATATATATATATATATATATATATATCAAAATACTATATTAGAATGTCTGAACAACCGAAAAGATTATAAGAAAGTCGAAGAATGGTTATAAAAACGATAATGGGAATATGATGACAAACGTTGCTAACAGTAAAAAGTTTGAATAACCTTTCAATGTACATGTTTTGAGTATTTTGTCTAATCTGATTGGTGGTTTTTATTACTGTCATTCAAAATTTGTGAAGCAGCTATATCACATCAGAATGGAAGCTTTTGGAATCGAACACCAAGCTTCTTGATCTCAACTGCGTCAGAGGTGATGTACTCGCAAAATGCCTAGAAACACTTGAATGGATCTTAGAAGGAAAGATTCAACAATGGGGAAGTCAGTCAGTTGAAAGTGTTGCAGTTCATAACTGAACCATAAGAAGATAAGTAAGACTTTTGATACGGTGAAATGCATGAGTGGTTAAAGAAGTAATAAACAGAGAGAAAACAATAAACAACGTAAATGCACGAAAGTGGTCGGTGATGAGTCCTGTTACTTGAATTTCATAGTATTTGGTTTCTGACACCTTCAAGATCAAAACTTAGGGATTCTCACCCCTCTATGCAGACAAAAACAAAAAGTGGTAATTTATTAACCAGTTTCTGATTTTTTTTTTCAGTAAAAATCAGTATCTCTACCACCTAATCTCATACTGGCTGTTATAGAATATCGCAGAAGCGGAGAATAAGTATTATTTATGGATTACTTCCTCATTGGCTACAAAAGCAAGAGAAACTTCGGTGCATTTCAATTAGTCACAATTCATAGCATGGTTTCCAACTAAGCGATAATCACACAACAAATAAATCTAGATGGGGAACCTAGACAAATTTTCTTATTTTCGAATGTCACTTG